GTGGTTCTGTACGGAACCAAATACCTCAAAAGTGGTTCTCTAGAAAAGTTGTGGTTCTAGTGTTTTTTTGGGTATTTATTGGGGAAAACGTTTAAATGGTTAGATTTAGCAAATCATTTTTTGATTTTTCTTGACTAAAAAATATTTTGATTGATAAAAAGTAAGGAATATTTTATAAAAAATATAATTTAATATAATTTATAATTGATGTGATAGTTTTGAATCTACCCTCAATATAGGCAGGTCAACTACATCGGGAAAAGGGTTTGAAGTCTCAATGTTAAAAATTGGAAATTATACGTCTTGAGCTTTTATAACGATTATCATAATCATGTATTCAGGGTTACCCAGGAAAGGATGAGACTTCAAAGACGACTGTATGGAATTTCTCTTTTATCTTATTATTCTAGTTCCCTGTTACTTTGCCAGATCATTAAAAATAACCCTTTAAAAATTTAATTAAGTATAAAAATCCCAAATAATATGTCAGATCGTCATATTCAAATAGTTTTGGCCACGGGCGGATACAGGGGGGGGCGGCAGGACCTTGCAACCCCCTGACGGATTCAGTGGGGGGTGCGTAGCCCCCCCCTCCTCCTGAGATTTCAGAATAGCTCCTTAAAAGCACTTAATGGAAAGAAAACCTAGTACAAAAACAGGAAAAATATCTATCCTTAGAAAATGTTGTTCCTAAATCTGGATGTTTTCGTTCCGAAATAAATCTAGCACCCCCCTCACTAAAATCCTGTATCCGCCCCTGGTTTTGGGTCATCTTTAAAGCCTCATTATTTGTGGGTAACCCTGTATAAGGTTATAGATATATTTTTCTATCTGTCCTTTAAAATCGGTAAGTTTTGTACAAGTACTTACCTTTCAAACGATTTATCTTTAAATGCATAAAGAGAGGATATCATCCGTTCTCTATTTATGAGAAGGAGAACACATCTCTCCTAATTGACGTGTTGGGAGGCTCTTTAAAGGGACTGTACGCGTTATTTCAAGAGGCCCTTCATGCAAAGATGGCCATGCCTTATTCTCAATGATACTTAATGTTTTCCTGCAGTAGAAATGCACTATGTTAATTTTGCAGAGAAACCACAATTAATTCCTAAATTATAAACTAATATTGTATTCGATTAGATTCTTTAACATACAAAGCTTTTAAGTGTACGCGGTGTGAATCGGGCATTGACATCTTTGCAGTGGGGGCCACTTTAGATTGACATTATTATAATACATTTTGTAGAAAGAGTACAAAACATATTAAAATGGCAACATATTTCAAGTTACAAGTCGGTCCAGAGCTGAAAACTTTAGAATGGTGAATATCAGGACTAATGCTTGATCCTCTCTTTTTGATAATCTCAAGATTAACATAATCTTGCAAGATTATCTTAAAAGTGTATGAAAAACGATAAAATTCAAATTAATATTTAATCATCTGAGAAACTGTAGCAGCCAATCAGAGAAAAGCGGGCAACCAATGAGAGAACAGAAATATTCTCATTGGAGAAAACAATTAACGGATATCCAAGGATATCTGGTGACGTATTCAGGAGGTTCAGATTGTTTTAATACATTAGAGGGTTTTTGACGTCAAGTGCTCCACAAAAATCCGAGTTATTGATCACTTTGCCAAATTGTAGACTTGATGCGATTTTTATACTCTGGTAAAAGATATTAACCAAAAGATTTTTTCAAAACGAAAAACGATTTTACAAATCGTTTTGGTTAATAAAGAAATATCTTTGGTCAGAGTAGAAACTTTGCAGAATATAATGAAAATTGCATAGCTAGATAATTAAATATGATTTAAATCTCAGATTCTTAAAAACACGGACTTGAAAACGCGGCCCATTAGCACAAAGCACAGTTTATGATGTAGCATTTGAGTCAGGTAGAGGGAAACCTATAGAAAGGATGAGACTGTAAAGACGACCAAAATTCTAAAAATATGACGATTTAAAGCTTTTTTTTTGTTTGTTTCTGGATTCAATTAAGTATTTTGATGGTTTCCTAAATGTTTGAGCACAGAAATAAGTTTTGGTCTGCAATGAACCTTGATTGCACTTGCGATTCGACATTTTTGCCATGGGTATTTTATGCGGAGTGAATTTTTTCTTTGGAAAAACTTTCTTGTAGCCTACAACCAATCAGAAAGCCTAATCTTATATTTAAAAAAAGCAAAATGAAGTTTTTTTGTGTTTTTGTATACAGGATGTCCCAGAAAAAATCGAATTGAGAGACGACTTAAAAGACGTCTTTGAGTTTTCATATTTAATGCATGCCATAGAAAGTCTAAAAGGAGGCTGTACGTCTCAAAGGCTTATCATAAAGTGGTCTAGACCTTTTATGTGACTAAAAAATTGATATTAAGTCAGTTTTGATTTATTAGATAAATTGAAATATGTATACATATTTTGCAATATCTCCGTCAATTTTTAAGATACAAAAATGGTAGACCACATTTTGAAAATCAGATCAGATCAGGATTGTTCGATATTATAAATACTCCAATAATTGTTATCATGAAAAAATGCCCCATGGATCGAATACGATAAAAAAGTTGTACCTTAATAATTAATTCCCATGTTTATTGGGACACCCTGTGTAGCAACAATGATGAGAGCAAATATGTTGTAGCGGCAGTAAATCCGGTATGTTCCGTAATCTCAAAAAAATTGTTTGCAAAGTTGCAAGCTTGCCACTTTCGTCAAAATCTAACCCGGATATCTGATTTTCTTCAAGTAGTCCTTTAAATGACTTATTCTTAACATAATCTGAAAAGTTAATGTAATTGGATTCATCTTTAAAGAAATGTTTTGACATCAATTTCTCGGAGAATAATGTTTTCATATCAATTAAATTTAATGAAAGCTCTGACAAAACATTAGTTGGTAAATATCTTAATAAGTCTTCTTCCATAATTTGGTAAGAGTTCGTTACCAAAGAGAATAATAAAAAATATTAAATTTTTTGTTATTGTAAAATTTATTTCAAAGTCAAGTATAATGAAGCGAGAGATTTATTCATCGAAATAAACTAAGTCTTTAATACAGTATTAGTAACGAGACATTCAAAACAAGAAAGAAACAATTTTACATTAACAGGAAATCCTAAATGAAGAAAAAATGTTGACTAGAAAATCTGAAAAAGGTAAAAAATGATGACTTAAGACTAAAAAACTAGACTTTTATCTCATCACACATTTTAGTTTATTAAGATAGATATTTTGCATCAGGTTTTCTTTTCCTTAATTGCTTTAGAGAATCTATTAGCATCAAAACCAAATAAACTGGAGTTGAAAATCTTTAGTTGTCCCAAAACTAAAATTAAAAAAAAACCCTGAAAGATTGAGGATGAGAACAAACAGCTTCTTCTAAACCTGGCCATATCATGTTACTCTTACTGTACGATGGTATATTAGACTCATTAATCTAATAAAAGAAGGAATAGAAGTTCACACTGCATTCTCAATTCAAGGCTTACACACAATTTTAAAGTACATTCATAGAAATCTGGAAGATTCTAGATATAATCTGGCTTTCGCCAATCTTGTGGCGAAAATGGGGCCAAAACCCCAAAATTCCTTGGATAATTCTTTTATTACTTCCCTGGAGGAAATGGATAGTGAGACCACTGTAAAGGAACAAGCCAGTCATCAAGGCTTCCTTTATAAAGATACAAGATCTGGGAAAATGATTCTAGTTGATGGGATTTTAGGATCAATGTTTTATGCTTTTGATAGAGTTGCTGATAAAACCTGTGTTCTGGATACACTTAGTCGAGAGTTCTCCTTGGAACAGATGAAGAACTCTAGATCAAGCTTTTATCAAGCTTTTCAACTGCAGGATACAGAGGGAAATATCCAATAAAACGAAAGATATCTACCATTTTTCTAAATCTCTGGGAAAGGATATCGAAAATTGATAAAGCTGGGCATGGAAATGTTGTGGTGACAGTACCTTTCAATTTACAAATACCCAAGTTTTTGACAACTAGTGAGTTTAGTGTCAAGGCATTTCAGGACACCTCAAATGCCATGATGGATGAGAGAATGTCAGCAATAGAGAAGAAGAAGTTAGTATCTGGGATAAGGTCAATGTCAATCCTGCACCAAGTTTTGCTGCAAAATCGTACAGTGCGGTAACTAGAGGTAATGATGATTACAGTGGTACAGGGGCAAGACCAAAGAATCTCACAGTCCCCCTAAGAGCAGGAATAGGTAGAGAAAGATCTCACAGTGTAAAGAGAGGATGAAATGATGGAATAAACTCTTAAAACAAAAGAAGGAATGTGGGGAAGCCAGTTGTCTCTGGTACCAGAAAATAAGAAAAATTAAATCCCCTCCGGCTGACATTCTGTTATGGTATTCCTAAAGGTACCACTTAACAGGATATTGTGGAAGACTTAGATGAAGCTGATATTAAGATGACAGTTGGCGATATTGTGCTGATGTCTAAACCAAATGAAACCTCAAATGTTATTAGCTTTAAAATCTCAGTTCCAGCTGAAGATCTTGAGAAAGCCTTGGATCCCACTGTGTGGCCCTTGCGAGTACGTGTCCGTGAATTTATCCATTATAGGAAGCGGTATTCTGATAGAAATGGAACCACAAGTGTATCAGATTTTGATAAAAATGGAACCCAGAGTGTAGAGAAGAATAGTGCTACTGGTGGTGCAACAGCAGTACAATGATGGATGCAGCTAGTACTTTGTGCTTAACTAGCTATAATAGTGGGGGTATGGGAATTGATAAACAGAACTTTATTTATTGAATGAACTACCTTTACCATTTGTCAACGACTTAAAACACTTAGGAAAACGAGCTATTTTCATTTTAAAAATTCAGTCCCTTAACCAAGAATTTTATTTTAACAGTCCTGATGTTATTTTGAAACTGTATAATATTTATTGTTGTAGTCTCATTCTTTGTGGGTAAACCTGTCTTCCTGTCTCCATTACTCAGATAGACAGCTCACAGTTCTTGATTAAGCAAGTTTAAGTATAAAGTTTATTAATCAACAAATCACAAAAGGGTTTATCACAACGTCAACTTACATAAGTACAAATACCAAATCTTGACAGAGATACAAGTTTAGTATAATCACCCTTAAATTTGGGTAAAATGCTCTATTTCATTTCACAAAAGGTTTATCAAGAGAAGATAAAAGGTCTGACAAGAAATCAGTTAATTTTTGGGCTTTTTTAGTCCGTCACATACATTTAGAAACTTGATAACATACAGGGTGTCCCTGTAAACATAAGAATTAGGAGACTTTAAAATTCGTGTTAACACTGATTTAATCTTTTACCGCCATTTGACTAACATTACCGACCTATGATTCCCCCTACAGAGGAAGGTTAGGGTACTCACCGTCCCTAGGGACAGTTATGTAAAATAACCGACCGCTCTGAGGAAGTTTTCGGGAAATTAGAAATTTTACTTAACCACGGCCTCGACCAATTTTTTCTACAAAACATTCCTCGCTACGCTCTGGATGTTTTGTAGACAAAATTGGTCTTGGGAACCCTTGGTAAAGTAAAATTCCCTTAACTTCCCTGTAAAGTAGTTGTAAATAATTATTAAAGTAATTAAAAATATGAACTTTAAATATCAACGGAAGCGTTACGTTTTGAGACATTGAAACTAAATTTTAGATATCTCAAAAATCATGTATGCTTTCCGCTTTAAATGGATAACTCCCAAACATTAAAAGAGCCAGTCCAAAAAAGAATTGCAAATTGTTTATCTATGTTTGTCTTGTTACATACCAACAACTGTATAATAATGATGACTAGGTGCAGAAACTAATACCGTGCGAATAAAACTATAATTTAAAAAGATTTATACGAAGTTAAAGCTTCCAATAAAAATCTATGAAAATAAATAATGTCAAAATTTTTGATTAAATGCTTAAAATTTGCGCCTAAAGCATATGATTAAATCGTTGGAAAAAGCAGAAATGAATACTTTTTAATTAATATAGAAAAAATTGATAATATTGAACAATAAAATAACAAAAAAAATTTAAAAACCTTTTTTGTATTTTAGATATAAAAAGATGCATTGATTCACCTTTCTCACAGTAAATATACATTGAAAATCAGAGTTCACAACTTTGTATGTACAATGAACTTAATTTAGAGATAGAACTGATACGCTTATAATTTTAGTGCTGTACTGTACTGTACTGTACTGTACTGTACTGCACTGTGTACTGTACTGTACTGTACTGACTGTACTGTACTGTACTGTACTGTACTGTACTGTACTGTACTGTACTGTACTGTACTGTACTGTACTGTACTGTACTGTACTTGAATCAAGAAAGATTAGGCTGGAGATTGGAGGTGGGGAAGGCGGACATGATTTTAACTGGAAGATCGTCCATATTTGGTAGAAGGATAAACTTATGAATCTCGTCCTTTAATCTGAAACAAAACAGTATTTATTTTTACAGTTGTTAGAATATTTAAAATAATCTTATATTAAATATTATATGAAATTTTTGAAGTATTGAAAAATAGACAAATTATGAACTATTAAATAATAAAATAATGATGTCATTTCAAAAATTAAAATTAAAACAAAAATAATTCTTTATAGCGTGATTTTTTTTAGCCCGATCTAGTTTTCAATGAGGACCCAGGATACAAATAATTAAAATAAAAAAGTTGACCTGTTGACCAAGACATGAATTCCTTTGTTAACAGCTGTAGAGAACAAGCTACCATCCTCGCCTAAGGATACTAGCTTGAAGTTTTCTCGGATTTGTTTATAGATAAATGAATTTTCTCTTAAGAGATAACCAGAAAACCAGAATCAAATTATAACTTTTAAAAGTCCAATGAGCATGAAACAAAGCAATTGAGCAGAATAAACAGTCCCATTTCACTAGATTAGTGATATAATAAGTGTCTAGAAAAACTATTTGCTTTATAACAGCATTACATACATAGATTAATTAAAATAATAGATAACACACTAGATGTCGTCCTTTCAAGATTTGGATGAAACCTGTTCACAATAACCCTGAGGCCGAAGCCCAGAGGAGTTTCGCGCATCTGGGCTTCTGCTTCCGGGTTATTGTGAACTATTTTCATCCAATTCTTGAAAAGACGACATTTAGTGTCCTATCTGTTATTTTAAGTAATCTATGATTAAATACAATTAAATATAGTCTTACTTTTGACTATTCCATTATTTTCTGTTTATCACAGTAAAATAATTTTCAGATTTCTTAAAACTCTATATAAGAAGAATAATCATTTATTTCATATATCTTTATATCTTTATATCTTTATATCTTTATATCCTTATATAATTATATCCATAAATCCTTATATCCTCACATCCTTATATCTGTATATCTTTATATCCTTATATCTGTATATCTTTATATCTTTATATCTTATATCTTACAACTTTAAACAATATTTCATACCAGGCTTTTTGGGTGTTTCGCACCCATCTTCTATTTTAACTTTTAATTGTGGCTCTATCAGTGCGCACACAAACAAACAAACAAACAAACAAACAAACAAACAAATAAACAAACAGTACTATATATATACATAGATTACCTAGTTTTACATCTCCGTAGTAGGGCAATATGCGAAGATCCAGTTCTGGTTTATTTTTGAATCCATACCAGATTCTAAATATGTTAAATTATCAGGGTTGTTCTTGAATCCATACCAGATTCTAAACATAATTTAAATTTTCTGGTTTGATCTTGAATCCATGCCACAGATTCTAATTTTTTAAAATTTTCTGTTTCTCAAACGTAATTTACATTTTCTGGTTTGATCTTGAATCCTTACCAGATTCTAAATATTTTCTGCAGAATATACAAAAAGAAGATTATCGATTTTTAACAAAAACATGTTCGTTAAAAACGAAAAAGAATCTTTTTTAACAGGTAATAAGAAATTTTGATTGATCGAGAAGTATTTTTAATCTTAATTGATTTTGATGTGCCACAAATATTTGATAGAATAGAATGTCTTTACGGAGATCCTAAATATTAAGAAAACCACAAAAATATTAAATTATTAAATAAAAAATATTAATTATTAATACAAGTTTTTTCTCTCTCACCTGTCAGAAGGAGGGGGAGGAATATTTAATACTATAACACCCTTCAAACTCACAACCTAAAAATTACGAGTAAAAAAATATTATTCAAAAACAAAACAATTAAATTGTGTCGAACCTCAAGCTGAAGGGTCATTTTCTTGCTTGTTTTTGCTTTCCACCATTCCGAGTTGGACAGTCGATTTATTCCCGTCTTTACAATCTCACTGTTTCCAACCATCTCCCACCATCTAGATAGTGCAATCAATAAATTAATCCATGTTATCATCCAACCAATCCACTTACTTATCACACGATCCATTTTATTAATCATCAATCCATTTTATCAACCAACCAATCCACTAACTAATCATTCAACCCATTTTTTAATCATCAATTCATTTTATAAATTAGCCAATCCACTAACTAATCATACAATCCATTTTATTAATCATTAATCCATTTTATTAATTAGCCAATCCACTAACTAATCATTAATCCATTTTATTAATCAACCAATCCACTTACTAATTATCCAATCCATTAATTTATCATCCAATCCATTAATTTATCATCCAATCCATAAAGGGGATGGTGGAGTTGGCACATTTGATGTAGGGGGGGGGGCCCTGCCTTCATTTTTGGTTCAAATCTTCCAATTTTTTGGGTGCNGGAATTTCGATCACTAATTAGGCGTGCAGCCAAAAAATTGGAAGATTTGAACCAAAAATGAAGGCAGCCCCCCCCCCCCTACATCAAATGTGCCAACTCCACCATCCCCTTTATCATATAATCCATTTTATTATCATCTAATCTATTTTATTATAAACCAATCCATTATTTTATCATCCAATCCAGTAATTTATCACCCAATCCATTTTAATTATCATTAATCCATTTTATTATCATCCAATCCACTAATTTATCATCCAATCCATTAATTTATCACCCAATCCATTAATTTATCATCCAACTCATTAGTTTATCAACCAATCCCCAATCCATTTATTTATCCTCCAATCCATTTATTTATCATCAAATCTATTAATTTATCAACCAATCCATTAATTTATCATCCAATCCATTAATTTATCATCCAATCCTTTTATTTATCATCTAGTCGATCAAAAACCAATCAGAATCGTCTCACCATCTACCCAACCAAACGACAAAACCACCGATCAAACAACCTAGCAATTAGCAACTGATACTATAACCAAACCACAAGCTCCTGAAATAAATCGTCATAAAACTCTAATACTGAAGTCGTCGACGTATATATAAATACAATGAAGACAACGTTCTATATAATTTTTTATTAATACCAAGCTTTCAAACAGCTTGGATACACATAGATCTGGAAACAAAGAGAAGCTGTCAGTTACCAGATATTTTTAATATTTAATTGTTAGAAATTAAAACTTAAATATAATAGCTGTCCTTCTTGTATTGATATAAACGTCGACCAAAGTATTTGTCCAATATTATTAAAACTCGCCTAGTCCTATGAGCTGGGGACTCGACAAAGCTTTGAGGAGTTTCACCGCTCTCCTCGGAGTCGGACTCCGCGCTGTCCTCCTCCTCGCTGTTGGTAGCAGCCTCTATACGACTAGACTTTCGACTAAAAAAATTAGGGATGAATATCATCGCTTAACGACAGACAGCTTCAAGCATTAAGCATAGAAATAATTTAATCAAAAGGACTGTAAGCGTAATTTCCAGCGCGCCTTCATACATAGATGGCAATTTTCGATTCACAACGGTACCCTTGAAACCTTTATCTGATCAACTAGGTGGAAGATATTGTCGTTTTTCTATGTGTTAAGTGTTAAATTCTGATAATTTCTATACCCCTTTTCTGCTGTACAAAGGCGCAAGTTTCTTTAGAAGAGAACCCACAATTGAATATAATTCTTTTTTAAAGTTATAAACTTCTAAGTCTTACTTGACCAGGCAAAGCTTTCAAGGTTACCGTTGTAAATTCGGCATTGCCATCTTTACATGGAGGGTCCCTAGAAATTACGCTAACAGTCCCTTTAATTCGTGAAATTTAAAATAAATATCTTACCCTGGACTAGGAGGCCGGACTGGAATTGCCTCTGGGTGCTCTTCAAGAAGAGCTTTGAGATGAACTCCACCAGCCTCGGCATGTTCTTCAACTAGATTGAACCCGCAGGTCTCTATAGTAGCTGAGGCAATACCGCCGTACTCTACTCCGAGCTGAACCCACAGTCCTCGCTCATTTTGAGTAGGTCGAGATACCCATTGAATCTAAATAAAATTATCATTTTTTATTCAATTTTATCCAGAACTTAAAGGAAATATAAACGTAATTTCAACTAACCATCCGTTTCAAGATTTGCTTGTCAGATTCTCAACGGAACCGTTTAAATCTTTTTAATCTGAGTAACAATGAGGAAGATATTGTATTGTCTTAAAACAATTGGATTCTGGGAGTTTCTCACCGAAACAAAAAACGGAAATCTCGTAAAACTACAATTGAATATAATAAAACCTTTATCAGACAAAAGGTTTTGGGGTACCGTTGTGCCACTCAATAAATTGAATTTGATCTACAGTTCCTCAAAAGCAACATTCAGAGAAGGTACGGGCGGTTAATCTTTTTATTCATTTTTTAAAAATTCAGGGAACTCCAAATGCATTTTTTTAAAATCTTTTCAATCCAAAAAACAAGTTTTATTAAAACACATAACAATTTCATTACAATTTAATTCACAAAGAGTTGAGATTGCTTTAAACTCCATTTTACAGATTGGAATATAGAGTGATGTTTTTTTAATCCTTTAGAACTTTCCTAATCTGTACTAAACGATGTTAGGTATTTTCACAAAAACATTTTTCAAAGCAGAAACTTCCAAAGGGTATTTTCCCACGTGACAAAATTCCCAAATGTGCAATGACCCTAGCGGCAACTTTCCTAGGGTATTTTCTTAAGTGGCAACTTCCCAAGCGGCAATGTCTGCAGCGCTCAGCCCTTATTGCAGCCAACAGCCTAACCTAACCTTTTAGAAGTTGCAGTTGGGGAAATTGTCACTTGGGAAAATGCCTTTGTGAAAATAGCCAACACTAACTATATTAACCTTAGGTAGGTTGCTTCCCATATCTATCTCTGTGACACTAATCTGCTTAAACCACTGTGTGATCTTGATCTGCCGAAAGTTTAATTCAAAATATATTACAGTTTTAGTTTTCCAAATCACGGGCAATTCTAAATTTATGAATCTTATTCAACACTAGGCTTTCAGGCCGCTTCGCACATATCGTCTATTTCAATTCAGAACATTTTCTCTTTGTATACATTAAAACCTGAGTCTTGAATGACAAAAACAAAAATAGGTCGTGAATTTCATAACAAAAATTGTGGATTTTCAATATCTTCATCAACCATCCATGAACCTTCCCTGTGGTTATAGGATTTCTAACTAATAAATCTTCGAAAATTAACAAGTTTTCAATTTTTTTTTAACAATTATAAATTGAGAATTAAATATTCCTTGAGAAGTTTGTTATGAATCCGTGTTCGAAGGAGATTCTTTACTTCCAGACTTTTATGAATATCGTAAAAAATCCTAAAAATATCAGGGGTAAAAATCTAAAAATATCAGGGGGTAAAAATCTAAAATTATCAGGGGGTAAGAATCTAAAAATATCTGGGGGTAAAAATCTTAAAATATCAGGGGGTAAAAATCTAAAAATTTCAGGAGGTAAAAATCTAAAAAAAGTGAAAAGAAAGTCTGACTCATGTTGAAATCCGGAGCTGATTCGACATTATGAATAATAATATGATAAAACCATTTTTATAGAAATTAGGCTTTAAGTGTGATTCCAGATTTTGGATATATTTTGTAAAGTGTAAGCTGTTAAAAACATAAAAATTAAATCATGTCGATCTTAAATTGTAGGAGAGGTAAATTATTACCTGTGCAAATAAACATTGAAGAAGTGAATACACCAGTCCGTAGATGTTTCAGATCCTTTAAAACAAGATTAGTTAATGTTTCAGATCCTTTAAAACAAGATTAGTTAATGTTTCAGATCCTATAAAACAAGATTAGTTAATGTTTCAGATCCTTTAAAGCAAGATTAGTTAATGTTTTAGATCCTATAAAACAAGATTAATTCATGTTTCAGATCCTATAAAACAAGATTAGTTCATGTTTCAGATTCTTTAAAAAAAGATTAGTTAATGTTTCAGATCCTATAAAACAAGATTAGTTCATGTTTCAGATCCTTTAAAACAAGATTAGTTAATGATTCAGATCCTTTAAAACAAGATTAGTTCATGTTTTAGATCCTATAAAACAAGATTAGTTAATGTTTCAGATCCTTTAAAACAAGATTAGTTAATGTTTCAGATCCTATAAAACAAGATTAGTTCATGTTTCAGATCCTTTAAAACAAGATTAGTTAATTAAATTTAAATTAAATTTAAATGAATTGTTTATGATCGTCCGACAAACATTCCTGCTTTATTCATTTTAGATGTAATCTTGAATTCATCATTACGATAAAGGAAAAATTTTTGTAAAAATAATACACTTCGAAAAATGTATTGGTGCAGAATTTCTTCTGGAAAGTTAATGATCTTCCAATCCGTGTACATCGTTAAAGTCATCTCTGGATTTTCAATTACAATTTCTAAGAACGGGAGTATACTTGCTGGATAAGAATAAGGGTTTAAAACATAGCTGCTTGTTCATCTATTAGGCTTTTATGAATCAAGCATAAAAATGTTTAAAGAGCAGCCTGAATGAAATACGCGTTTAAAAAGACTTTAATGATCAGGGAAAGTCTTACTTTCTGAGAATATTAGAAACTTTAACACTTGAAAAATAAGGCATTTTGATTATAGAAGTAATTTTTTAGTGTTTATTTGAAATTTATTCCACCAATTTCTTTTTTAATGACAAGGTTTATAAAAGCTTGAAAAAATGAAACGTACCCTGTATTGATGGTGTTGGCTGTTCCAGTATTTTAGACATAAACTCAACAAAGTTGGATTTCCGTTCCCGTACAGTCTCACGCCTGCAGTACAGGAGTAAAAAATAAACAATCAGCAGTCTCACGCCTGCAGTACATTAGTAACAAATAAACAATCAACAGTCTCACGCCTGCAGTACAGGAGTCAAAAATAAACAATCAACGGCTACAAAAATCAACACAGTTAGGAAAATTATGCATCAAAGACCGGGACGACTATGAAGTGTCACTGGTCCAGGCCTTGGTTTGACATTGCCAACTTTATTTATTATAAAACCTGACTGAACTATAAAGATGTTATCATTTCATTCAAAGATTTTTGTGTCAGAATGTGCATATCTATTAAGGTATCTACTACACTGTTTTAAAATATGTAAACCTGAATTTTCTGTTTGAATCTGTTGGTTTTCTTGTAACGTCTAGAAATGTATCGGCCAGGAAATAATGAGCGTTCATTAAAGCTTTATATATGTCCTCTTTCTCTCTAAACAAAAGAAAATAAGGATAAATAACAAATCTATACGAATAAAGGTTATATATCTATCATCTACATTCTACTTTAATGCCTGTAAGAACTGACGTTCTAAAATTAATTCTATCTTCATTTTCAACACTTTTAGAATGATGAACTAGCTGAAATGTGTTTTTTCCTTCCGTTTTTCAATGATGATAAATTTTTTGATAAGGATTATTTTTTTAATATTGCATGTTAAACTTCTAGACTCGCTTAACTAGGATTTATAATGTCAGAGAAGGACAAGATGGAATTCAATGTTCGCTTATTTAATCATATTTAAATGGTTTTAACCGTTTAAATGAAAAATAACGGATAATCTCTAATTTTGTTTTGGCTGAGCCTACAATTCAAAATCGACCAACGAATAGTAAGAATATTGTGCTTTAAAGGGCAGTTTTAAAAATGTGTCATTCCGGACTAATGATTGATTGGACTAACGTTCATAAGGACTAAAGCCTTTTTGGACAAATTATTTTCAATTGAACTAATTTTTCAATTTTTTAAAGTAACCAGCTCTTATCGAGAATATAAAGTACTAGCTAAAATGGCCGGTATTGCCCTTGGGGAAAAAATTTCGATTTTTTTAGCCTATATTACCCTCAGGCTAACCATGGGTTCCCTCAAAAACCGTCAGCCCATTCGGTCCAGCTGTTTGACCAGCTATAGCTCACATATACATATTTGAGCGAAGAGCTTTATTAAATAGATTTTACACAAAAAATTATAAAATGTAACCCTGGCCACCCCCGAGTGTCCACAAAAAAAGTCAGCCCAATCAGTTCAGCCGTTTGGCCGACTATAGGCAACATATACAAATGTCTTGTTTTATTATATAGATTATATACTCGTATAATGATGAAAACATCCCCGTTTATCAATTTTAAAATCTATAATTTCTACTAGGGATTTTTCTGTAAAATGTACTTACTGACAACGAACAAAACTTACAGAATTAATCACTTATTAATTTGGACAACGACGATATATTCTCCTTAGTTGCTCACATAAAGGTTAAAGGATATACAGTTGTAATAAGTCCTCTTTAAATAAAGTGTGAGCTGAAATGATAAATCACAATGAAAGTCCCTTTAAGCTATTAATTGAAATATCTTCCTCGAAGTTACCAATCTCTTAAATGCAATGAAAAGAATGGTGGTTTTTTGTAAAAAAAGTATTTTTTTATTGCTGTTCAAATCAATAAGAAAAGGTGGACCCATCATTTTTCGTGAACAATACAAATTGAGTTTCTAAGACTGAGTTGCATCATTCTTTAAACTTAAATATTCCAAAAACTTCAAGAATCAACAAAACGAGTAACGGGCGTAAATAATGATTTTTTTAAATGGCGTAAATTTAAAGACAGGAGCGCGCAGTGTACGGGTTGAAATTATTCTTGTTAGTGGGGGCAAGATAAATTTAGAGACATGAGAATATTTTTTTAACATCCCCCTCCAATATATTTTTTTATAAGGTAGAAAAAAAGAAAATAGTATTGACAGTAATGATGCTCGAAGTGCCAAAAATAATTTTTTTAATATTTTTTCCTTTCTTGACAGCATTTCATCGATATTTTTTCCAATTTTTTGACAATAAATCCAAGATTCTAGAAGAAGAAAATTTTTATCTGAAAAATTCTAGGCGTGTAAAGGGTTATTATTCCCAATAAAACCTCCTTATTTACGCCCCTGAACTGATAAATACTAAATAGTGCAGAAATTACCAAAGTAGCTTTAATAAACCTGGTCAGCTCTTGTCAGATAGAAATAAACCTGTCACCTCTTGTAAAAAGATGGAAAACAAACCTGTCAGCTCTTGCAGACAGATAAATAAACCTGTCAGCTCTTAGACAGAAGGAAAACAAACCTGTCAGCTCTAGCAAACAGATAGAAAACAAACCTGTCAGCTCTAGCAAACAGATAAAAAACAAACCTGTCAGCTCAATTGCAAACAGATGGAAAATAAACCTGTCAGCTATTGTAAACAGATGACAAACAAACCTGTCAGCTTTAGCAAACAGATAGAAAATAAACCTATCAGCTCTTGTAAACAAATAGTAAAAAACCCGTCAGCTATAGCAAACAGATAGTAAATGAACCTATATCAGCTCTAGTGAACAAATAGAAAACTAACCTGTCAGCTCTTGCAAACAGATAGAAAACCTTCTCATCACTTTCAGCAATCTCTGCAGTTGGTGATTCGTCATCCAGCTCGTCTATATCCTTCTCTGTATCGTCTTTGGTTGAAACTGGTGAATCTAAGCTATGAAACTCGGAATCGGCCTTCTGTGCGTGCAGGTTGAGGTGCGCATGGGCTTGGTTTGGTTTGGAAACATCCAGCTCCCGGTCGGAGTCGAGGGTATCCGGTGCGGACACACAGTTTGGTCGAATCTCAATTGGATACTTTTTACTAAACATACGCTTGCCAGCTATTCCATCTGGTAGCAAACCAATCCTGGGACACAGTTTTATATTTTTAACCAAATGTTTAAAAAAAATGTTAAACAGAATAATTAATTTGAATCAGAACTAAACTAGAGAAAAGGCCAAAATTCAAATAAAATGAAGGTATGTAACTTTTTGGAGTACTTCAAGGTGAGTTCTTCTTCATGATTAAATAAACAAATTGTAAAATTGTAAACTTGTGTTCCTTGCTGTTGTAAGATCAACATGATCTGTATGGAAATGGAATTTCAAATCTGCTGGGATGACTTCATCAGTATTCAATCTCCTAGAAAAAAAGGTGAAAAATAATTTAGCAATTAGGTTAAAAACAAGGTATCTACAAATTATCTACAAATTATCTACAAATTATCTACAAATTTTCCGACAAAAGAATTCTCAAAAAGCGGTAAATTAATACTTTAAATACAGCAAATGAATACTTAATAATACAGCAAATGAATACTTTAAATACAGCAAATGAATACTTAAAAATACAGCAAATGAATACTTTAAATACAGCAAATGGTGGTATATGAATACTCCAAAGGCGGTAAATGAATCATCTCAAGGCTGTAAAGAAAAACTTTAAAGAACAATCCCAACGTAGAAAAGAAAAACATCTAAACAGTAAATGAATACTCCCAAAGCGGTAAATGAATACTCCCAATGCGGTAAATGAACACTCCCAAGGCGGTAAATGAAAACCCCCAAGGCGGTAAATGAAAACCCCCAAGGTGGTAAATGAATACTCCCAAGGCGGTAAATGAAAACCCCCAAGGCGGTAAATGAAAACCCCCAAGGCGGTAAATGAAAACCCCCAAGGCGGTAAATGAATGCTCCCAAGGCGGTAAATGAATACTCCTAAGGCGGTAAATGAAAACCCCCAAGGCGGTAAATGAAAACCCCCAAGGCGGTAAATGAATACTCCCAAGGCTGGTAACGAAAACTCCCAAAGCGGTAAATGAATACTCCCAAGGCTGTAAACGAAAACTCCCTAAACGGTAAATGAATACTCCTAAGGCGGTAAATGAATACTCCCAAGGCGGTAAATGAAAACCCCCAAGGCGGTAAATGAATACTCCCAAGGCTATAAACGAAAACCCCCAAGGCGGTAAATGAATACTCACTTAGGTATATTCTTATCTGGATATTCTATCTTGAGCATCTGATGTTCCACCGTCACCTTGACAGAGATGGTGTTCTTCACCTCGTACTTGTCCACGTCATAGGGGTGGAACTTCTGAGGGAGAAGGTTCATCCAGGCTTCAACTAGAACAGAATTTAATACTTTATTGCAACAAATTAACCTTCCAGATCACTCCTTATCAAACATAAAAGCTATTATCCTTGAATTCTTTAAAGTAAACTCCCAAACTTACAGGAAAGTCAGGGAGACATACTTCATTAATAATATGAATTATAATAAATAGTTTTAACGTTATGTATGATTGTGATGTGTTTTATTCTTTTTCAGATTGATTTCGTCTCATCATTCTTTGACTTTCGTAGTTTTTTTTTGATTATTGTTATTTCATAACCTTGACGTTTAATTTGTTATAACTGTACTTGTTTTACTTTGCAGTCTTTTCTTTTCTTTTGCTATAGAAATTATCATTTAAAATCTTTTGATTTCTTCGCAACCATCACCCCCATCCCTGCAACTTCAGATCTGTCGGTCAACTATTCATGTTTTGTAACTCCACCCTCCCCCATTGTAATAGATTGATGACTATATTATGATTTATGTTTTCAATCGCAAAAATAAATATTTTTTGTTCTCAGAGAGAGCAAGCGACGAATTATCCAAGATTTTATCACATTTTTCTGATCCTATTATCCGTCTTTATATTTCTCAGAGAGAGCAAGCGACGAATTATCCAATATTTTATCACATTTTTCTGATCCTATTATCCGTCTTTATATTTCTCAGAGAGAGCAAGCGACGAATTATCCAATATTTTATCACATTTTTCTGATCCTATTATCCGTCTTTATATTTCTCTTTGTAACTTACTCTTCATCATTAAATTTAGAAATATTAAGCCAACTGTTTAAGTGGTATCAAAGCACTTTAGAGAACTTTCAAATTTAATATTTGGAAGTAAATTATTTTATTTGTGGAATTTCTATTCTGTTCATTTAACAAATTGAATCGGGGAATAGAATAGAATAGAATAAAAAATAATTAAATTGAAATCTAAAAAGGGACTCGACAGCATATCAAAAATCACAAAAAGAAGATTTTATAAGAAATTAAAAAGTAATTTAAATAATTTCCGCCGTCTTTCCCCCCCCCCCTCACCTTTCGGCTCTGGCCCAATATAATGTCATGTATCCAATTAACTCTTGAGCCCGAATTTAGTGTAAAAAAAAACAATTAAAAAATTAAAAACAATTTACTGGTTGGAAAGTACCCAGGATTATAAACCACCCAATTACAGCTCTGGTTCAAAGTATAGCTAATTATCAACTTACTTTTATCAACTTGTTAACAAGTTCTCAGGAGGCGGATATGATTGCTCTCAAACATAAATATTTTTTTCCCCCAGAATGAGCAAAATATCCTAGATATCGTTCTGAATTTCGAACTTTTTTTCTTCGTTAGTTAAACAACCCATTCTTCTGTTTATCTGTTTCTATTTGTAAATTACTAGTATATTGATAAATATCAAGTATGTAGTTACTGAATCTTTCAGTTAATTTTATTAGTTGCAACAAAGAATTTCAGAAATTTTAAAACTGGAAAGTAAGTGTCTTATGGACTTTTAAACTAAATGAAATTTATTCATTGATAACGATTCATTAAAACGTTCCATGAGCAGTGTTTTTATGGAACTGATCCAGGATCCAGATTCATATTTGAATGAAATGGATCCTTAACACTGGTATTTGCGGAATCACTATTTTGGAAGTTTACGCTGTTTCCGATATAAATATGTGAAACCTTATTTTAACCAATTTCTATGCTCGCAATCCTAATTGAATCTTTCATCTAATGAATGAATGAATAAATCAGAGTTTTAAGGACGTCCTACTCCTACTATCCACATATCAATCAAATCAAAATTTATATATTTTACAGCTCGTGATAGGTGCTTAAAAAAGGGAGTGTTCGAAAAAAATTAAAGGGGTATAGGCTGGCCCACTAATCGCCATTAATTTTAGTACCATCTGTCGCGGTCACTCCCTTTACTGATTGCAATTTGAGAATTTCCGTGCGTTTAGTACCTGGTAGAGGTGGCTCATGTACAGTTATATGTGTAGATACAGTATTTCTTCTGAAAATATTTAATAATAACTAATCATTTATTTTTTATTAAGTATAATATGGAATGCCTTCAAAGAATATATTCCAGAATATTGTAATTTGTAATCTGTAACAAGCAGTTAAGGCTTTGTTTTGAAATGCTATGTATACAGAACAGACTAATTTAATGAGTTAAAAATCGCTGAACCGGAGATGGAACAAACCAAAAGGTAATGAATGAAATCAATTAAACGATCGCTGTAATCTTTCAATCCCAAAAAAAACATCTCGAACAACTCAACATACTGGTGTTAATGACAGGAAAATTATTTATCTGAGAGTGTACAAGAAGGGCCAATGGCAGAACGCCATAGGCTTGTCTCCCACCCTCTGAATTTACACTCAGCTCTTATCTGTGTTGATTTATTGGAACTTAAACGGAAGGGAGCTCAAGCCTACAACCTAGATTGAAGGTTTGACAGCGATTATTATTATGATTATTATGCAGGGGAAATAAGTTCCAAACAGCGATTTGGTTCATTACAAACATGGAGTGTTAGAAATAGGCCAATTCTGCAAAGTTATCTTTTTCATAAGCATTTCCAAGCCGATTAGAAAAGCAATTTATTACACTAGTATTTTGGGTTTCTCTTTATAGGAGGGAAGGATCTAGCCTATTTATATCACACTTTGTCCCTCGAGTTTTATACCTGGAAGGGGAGTAGGATACTGAAGGATAGAGTTTGAGAAGAATCCAAACCAAGGATATTCCACAAACCATGAGCCCAGTCACGAACCCGGATAGCCAAGATGGGAACAAACCTAAATAAAGGAATTAAGGGACGTCCCACATTTGAATACAAAAATCGTATAAAATCACGTGATTTTACAAAATAAAATGTAAAAAATTAAAGAAAAATGGGGAAGAAGAGAAAAATCAGTTCAGCAAATTATTTTTTACTTAAAAAGACAAGATTTTCCAACGTCTAATTTAAATTATAATGTTCAAATTTAGCTGTAATGCCAAGTTATAACATGTTGTAATATTAAGACCCTGACCAAATTTGTTTACAAAAAACTAACCAAAAACGAGCATGTTAAAACGATTTAACAAACTTTAACAGGACACAATTTTAAATATTGGAAGTTCCGTAAACAGTGCAAGTACTTTTAACTACAAGTTAAAATTCAGCTGTACTGCAAAGATATAAATGTAAAGTAAACTAACCTGTAAAATTGACAATAGTGAGGATACAGATAACAACAGGACTGACAAAATCTGTCAATGGAACAGTATGTATGCTTGGAACTGATACTGGTGGAGGAGAGAGAACAGATTCATTATCTAAAGTTTATATTTTTCTACTGTCCTGTCCTGTCCTGTCCTGTCCTGTCCTGTCCTGTCCTGTCCTGTCCTGTCCTGTCCTGTCCTGTACAATACTGTTTTGAACTGCTACTGGTGGCATATGAGTACAGAATCTTTGTCTGCAAGTGATATTTTCTTCTTAATTTTCCTCCCTACCTTATTCATTCTTTAATTTTTCTTTGATTTTCATATTATTTTCATATTATTTTCATTTAATTTTCATCTAATTTCATTTAATTTTCATTTAATTTTTATTTAATTTCCATTTAATTTTAATTTAATTTTCATAATGTTTACTACATTATTTGTAAAAAGTATGATTTTATTATGGTATAACCTACCGACCCTTACCCACAGTTTAGTAAACTTAAGTTTGATTTTATATCGCAATCTTTCCTTAGTCTAGACTCTCCCAACCATGGAGACAAAAAATTGAAATAATTTTGAAACAGCACCCTACCCTGTTTAACTGCTGGGTCGTCTAGTTGAACCATTTCATCTGCTTCCAGAGCATCTACTCCGTCCTCGTCCACAGGTTCAGCAACCTCCTCGTGTTTAGCCTCCTGAGAACATGGACTTATTGAAAAAAGAGAAGTAGTTCAACTAGGTGAGAGTAATTAAACTTTTTCTATACTGCCACACTTGAAAATTACTTCAATTTTCCATAATATGAAATCATGCAATTGAATAATTGAGACAACTTAATCGTAATTTGACCCCAGCAGCAGAAGCCCGGTTTCATAAATGGGGTCAGGAAGTTGTATTTATTAATAAATATTATAACATATAGTTCCCCTACATTCTCTAATTGTTTTGTGATTTCTTAAATTAAAATCTACGCAAATGTTAACACCCCAAAAAGGAAACTTCATAATATATAGATAAAGTATTTATAACAAACTTACCGACTGGTCTACGGTTACTAAATCAGCACCAGAGAAAGGATCTTCAAATAGAATCAAACTATCTTGAAGGTTGTGGTGCAAGGAAGATGCTGGACTCGAACTTAACTAAGGATTGGAAGCGTTAAAAGTCAAGAAAATCTAAGGTAACATACAAGCCGAAATGGGGATTAAAACAACATGAAGGTTCAAAACTTCGCTAGAATTTCAGGCTTCAAACATAAAAAGAGTTGGAGGGTAAAAAATTCTGAGAAATGGAGACTTAACACTTGACGAGTATTAAATGTCAGCTTACTGAATCTGAATCTGAATACTGAATCAATATTTGAGCTGTTGACGCGTATTTGAGAAATAATTAATTCCCTGCACACAATATATTTAAAACCAAGTTCATTATAAACTTCAGGGTGGCCAAAACTTTTTTGAACCCATCCGTACAAAAATCCGTACATTTTCAGAAGAAATCCGTACAATCCGTACAATTTTCGAAAAACAATCCGTACAATCCGTACAATTTTTTTTAAAAAATCCTGTATACTTGTCTTATTNGGATGAATATAATAATAAAACTAATATATTTTAAACAGACATATCTTGTTCCTATTAATTAAAATTTAATGTATAAAATTAGGTTTACGGATGAATATAATAATAAAACTAATATATTTTAAACAGACATATCTTGTTCCTATTAATTAAAATTTAATGTATAAAATTAGGTTTACGGATGAATATAATAATAAAACTAATATATTTTAAACAGACATATCTTGTTCCTATTAATTAAAATTTAATGTATAAAATTAGGTTTACGGATGAATATAATAATAAAACTAATATATTTTAAACAGACATATCTTGTTCCTATTAATTAAAATTTAATGTATAAAATTAGGTTTACGGATGAATATAATAATAAAACTAATATATTTTAAACAGACATATCTTGTTCCTATTAATTAAAATTTAATGTATAAAATTAGGTTTACGGATGAATATAATAATAAAACTAATATATTTTAAACAGACATATCTTGTTCCTATTAATTAAAATTTAATGTATAAAATTAGGTTTACGGATGAATATAATAATAAAACTAATATATTTTAAACAGACATATCTTGTTCCTATTAATTAAAATTTAATGTATAAAATTAGGTTTACGGATGAATATAATAATAAAACTAATATATTTTAAACAGACATATCTTGTTCCTATTAATTAAAATTTAATGTATAAAATTAGGTTTACGGATGAATATAATAATAAAACTAATATATTTTAAACAGACATATCTTGTTCCTATTAATTAAAATTTAATGTATAAAATTAGGTTTACGGATGAATATAATAATAAAACTAATATATTTTAAACAGACATATCTTGTTCCTATTAATTAAAATTTAATGTATAAAATTAGGTTTACGGATGAATATAATAATAAAACTAATATATTTTAAACAGACATATCTTGTTCCTATTAATTAAAATTTAATGTATAAAATTAGGTTTACGGATGAATATAATAATAAAACTAATATATTTTAAACAGACATATCTTGTTCCTATTAATTAAAATTGTATGTATAAAATTAGGTTTACGGATGAATACAATAATAAAACTAATATATTTTAAACAGACATATCTTGTTCCTATTAACAAGAAAGTGGGAAACCCTGAAATCAAATCAAAAGCTTTTAATCCAGAGAAAAATAAAAAAAAAAAAAACTATGAAAACAAAAGAATTCATAAGTGTTCAAATAAATCGAACTGAGTTCTTGCAACAAACTCAAATTTTCTAATCCCTATATCTCTCCAACCTGATAGTGAAAACCTTAGATATTTTAAACTTAAGATCATTTGATCTAACAAACTTCATAGTTTGAAATATTAAAGAGCTACAACAATTGGTTGCAAATATATAGGGATTAGAACATTAGAGTTTGTGACGATAACTCAATTCCTATAAAACTCTTACCTCTGTAGTTGGTTTTGATACATAACTGCGCATTAGGGAACGAAAAGAACGTTTAGGAGTATCCACTGGTGAACCTGAAATATAAAGGTAATATATAAATATGTAATATAAATATTTACTATTTAAAGTGAACCTTAAATAATTTAATTTTTTAATCATATGGATTTCTTTTAAAAAAAATCAGGCAATTTGGTACAGACTTTTGGGCAGCTTTAATTTTCATTTAAATATATCGATATATGAGTGATGACCTTATATAGATTTAGCTTGGTTTTCTAACACAGACTGTGGACAAGAATGTACACAATAATACTTGTGTCAGTACCCCCTGGATATACACACAAGATACGTTTTATCTCAACTAGAAGCAATAAATGGTAACGCTTTGCGCCACATCAACTGTTCTATGAGCTTCATTTAAATTTCTTCAATCTAAATCGTGTATCATCTCATTTTTATCTCCCCCTCTAATTTATTAATTGCGTCTCACTCTTATCTCTTTTTCATCCCTATTACTTTCTTGATTGGGACCCACATACCTTTCTAGAATCCCCTCTCCAACTTTACAGGGACTGTAGAGTGTAGACGCGTAATTGTAAGCGACCCTTTAGTTGTAGAGTGTCGTGTCCAATTAACAACAGTGCCCTTTAAACCTTTATCTGATCGAGGATGTCGGACTTATCCTTATAAATCTACACTCTACAGAAACGCTTGTTTTAGTTTGACATACAAACTGTTTATTAAATTCCAGTCTCTAGAAGTCGCAGAAAAATTTCTTTAAATTTTTTTATAACCGAGGTATACATTACACATGTTGCGTCAGCTGTGGTGAGTTCACACTGTGCGCTAACGTACACTCCAGTTTAAAGGCAATAAGAACATTATTTGAGTGTTTAACAGACAGAGTTCTCTGGCCTCTATGATCAGCTAAAGGTTTAAAGGGTACCGTCGTAAATCAGGCATTGCAATCTTTGCATGGAGGGTCACTTGAAATTACGCTTACAGTCCTGTTATTTGAGTCCAATTTTTCATTTTGTCTACATTTGTTCAAATGTCTATTTTGCCACACCTCTCAGGTTTATAGTTTACAGGGTATCTCCAATGGGTTTTAGGCCCAACGGTTTGTAGGGTGCTAAGCCCTGGAAAGAAAAAATTAAACCCCAATTGACAAATTCCTGGGTAGGCCTCCCCTGCACCCCTCTCCCCAAAAGTGACTAAGGAATTCATCGACATAAATTACGGAATGTTCAGCTTCAAACTAGCTCTCTTATACTAGGATTCCAGAACACAAATACAGCTTGGAATTAGAATACAGCAAACCCAGGATCTACACTCAACATAGGAAACTCGGCTCAATACTACCAGGAGCAGGGAACAATTATAGAGGTGAAATATTCATAATCCACGAAAAATTAATGTAAAAAATTTGTAAAAAATAATATAAAAATGGCTATAGACTACTAACTTTTTTGTGGTACTTATTAAATAGTTGACAATTAATAATACAGATTACGTATTTATTATGTTATGTAGTTTGTGTAAGGTAAATTGAGTCGGGAAATGGCTATGTATGAATTCTCAGCTAACAGGATATCAGAACACAAGTGGAGGAACATGGCGGCAGAATATACATATTTTATAACAACTAGGCGGCAGAAAATACATACAGATAATATATACATATTTTATAACAACTAGGCGGCAAAATATACATATAGATAATATATACATATTTTACAACTAGGCGGAAGAATATATATATTATACATAAACAGGGTGGCCAAAACCTTTTTGAAAAAATCCGTACAAAAATCCGTACATTTTCAGAAAAAATCCGTACAATCCGTACAATTTTCGAAAAAAAATCCGTACAATTTTCGAGAAAAAAAAACGTACAATCCGTACATTTTTTTGAAAAAATCCGTATAAAAATCCGTACATTTTCAGAAAAAATCCGTACAATCCGTACAATTTTAGGGTTAAAAAAAAATCAATCCGTACAATCCGTACAATCCGTACATTTTGGCCACCCTGAAACTTGTTTACCAAACTAGAGATTTGATCAAGGGGCGGAACGTCATGTGTGTGTGTCTGTACCAAAAGAGTGTGAGTAAGGAATACCGAACCGAAGGCGTGTACTGTAGGTATAAACAGTACAAAAGAATCTCAGTATTTGTACAGCCTAGGAGAGTACATTTGTTTATTGTTAATTGTTTACTTAAAAATAAGTTTAATATACATGTAATATATTTTATTTAAGTCAACACTATAAAGCCAAATTTTCATGCAAAGAATATATTTTGATTAAAGTATATAATAAACTATTCGTTATTGCTCTGCAACTTCCTTGACTGTAGTCATGTTGTTTGTCTGTACCAGGGGAAAATGTTTAAATTTTTAAAATTCTTATCGTATAACACAAATGATCACTATTGCTCATAGATTTAACTTTAATGACATATTTAACAAAGTTGGGTTATATATAGGAAGACGTTAAAAACATAAGAAGTTTATTTTTATTTTAATCAAGAAATTACTTGTGGACTGTAATTATCAATTGATAGATATTTAATGACAAATTGTATATAAAAAAGAGTACAAAGAGGCGTATGCAGGAGGAAGTGGAGGGCGGGGGGGACCCCTCCCCTCAGCAACCAATGATGTTCCCTCTAACAACCTATATTTCTGGTCGTAAAAACTACTGTAATTATTTGAATGCTTGGATGAGAACCCGGAAATAATGAAAAAATAAGATCAACTGAAAAAACTCAACTACTTAAACTCAATTTTAAAATCCATTTATCTTTGCAACCTAAAAACCTTTGGTTTTTGAAACGAAGCCTAATTAATCTGGCAGAATTCACAGCTTATAATAACACAAGTCTACCACATAAGGTTGCAAAGATATAAAACTTAAACATTACTATTGAACACTAGAGAGCTGGAAAACTAGAGAACTAGAGAACTAGAGAAGAAGAGAACTTAGAACTAGAGAAATAGAGAACTAGAGAGCTAGAGAATTAGAGAACTAGAGAACTAGAGAACTAGAGAACTAGAGAGCTAGAGAATTAGAGAACTAGAGAACTAGAGAACCAGAGAACCAGAGAACTAGAGAACCAGAGAACCAGAGAACTAGAGAACTAGAGAACTAGAGAACCAGAGAACCAGAGAACTAGATAGTAGAGAACTAGATAACTAGAGAACCAGAGAACCAGAGAACCAGAGAACCAGAGAACCAGAGAACCAGAGAACCAGAGAACCAGAGAACTAGAAAACTAGAACTAGAAAACCAGAGAACCATAGAACTAGAAAACTAGGAAACTAGAGAACTAGAGAACAAGAGAACTTGAGAACAAGAGAACTTAGAACTAGAGAACTAGAGAACTAGATAATAGAGACCAAGAGAACCAGAGTGCCAGAGAACTAAAAAACTGGAGAACTAGAGAACTAGAGAACTAGATAATAGAGAACAAGAGAACCAGAGAACTAGAGAACTAGAGAACTAGAACACTCGAAAACTAGTGAAACCTGTGAACACTTCTGGGACATTTCTCGAAAATTATGAATGAATTTTGATTGTCAATTGAAACATTAATCAATCTAATAGTACTTAGAATGCAGAAAATAAGTTAAACTAACTTCAATCGTTTTGACGAGAATTTTTTTTTGAAATTTTCATGAAAAATTTGCTGAAATTAGTGAAAATAAAAAAACGGTGTATTTCCAGGATAAAAATCCGTACAACCCATACAATTTGAAAAAAATCCGTACAATCCGTACAATTTCAGGGTTAAAAAAAATCTGTACAGTCCATACATTTTGGCCACCCTGCATATATTTTATAACAGAGATGAGGAAGGATACAGGGCAGCTCACAATATTTTCCAGGGGGGAAATTTGTATCTCCCACTTGCGAGAGGGGGAAATGTGGTGCCCACTTTTAAAATTTGTCCTGGAACAAAACATATTTTATAAATTAACTAATTTTGACTAAATAAATGACTGAAGTTTTATCCATTGTTACAAATCAATTTAGAGGGAATAGAATTTTTCAACTTTTTCAAAATATTTAACCTGGCTGAGCCATTTAGAAAAATTATATTAAAATGCTAAAATTTCGTATTTCAGCTAGTTTAACCCTAGTGTCGCACATCTGGGAATTTTTTTAAGGGGCACCCTAAGCGGGGGGGGATACGTCCACCTTTGTTTCACTTAAGCCGCCCCTGAAAGGACGAGAGGAGACTAAAGACGGATCAATGGTTTAATGGTTTACATATTAATTCTCCATTTTTAACATTCACTCTGGCCCTGGCTTGGCCATCCTATCCTTGCTACTGTGAATCGTAAGTTTCGTTCTATTCATGGAACTCTGAACATGCAAGCCAGAGTAAAATGAATAATGAATTATGTGACATACTAGATCTTGTTTCCTTTTTTTCATAAACCAAAAATCATTGACTTTCATTTCAACATAAAATGTCAACCGATAATATTTAAATGTCAATTATTGACCTAAAAAAATATCGAATCTTACCAATATTACAAACATTTATGAATTACATAGTGTTATGTATTAGTTATTTGATATGTTGGAGAATATGCTTCAGTCCATTATACCATCTAGCGGGGTTCACATACACATTATATTCGGCAATGTTTTTATCAATTGGAATAATATATACAATAATAGTATCTTTAGTTGTGCTAGTTGACCAGTTATGCATTTAGGTACAGGGTGTCCCAATAAACATGGGAATTCAGTGACGAATTCGATATCGTCTTTTAAGATAATTCTTTGATTTAGTATAGTGATACCTACTGAGAAAGCCGTAACCTGTAAAAGTTTCGTCTGCTATGTTCACATTTTGTTTATGTTTTGACTCCATACGGTTGTACTTAGTAAAAGAAGAAAATTTAAGTATACAAACAGTGTAAATTTGTCCCTCTTCACTGTTCATCTTCCGGATGCATTATTGACCCATCTTTACAGCCATTTAGCGTTTTCATAAATTAAACTCTAGCAGACATAATAATATTATGACTTTTGAAATTAGGTATTACAATGCTAATTCATAACAAAGACGATATCCAATTCGTCACTGAATTCCCATGTTTTTTGGGACACCCTGTACCTTACTCACCTACCAGACTACTGTCGAGTATACTACCTGGAGGTCTATCTAGGACTGGAGGTATATCTATTATTGTCTACCGGAAGGTCTATTTAGGACTGGAGGTGTATCTATTATTGTCTACATGGAGGTCTATCTAGGACTGGAGGTCTATCTATTATTGTTTACCTGGAGGTCTGTCTAGGACTGGAGTTCTATCTATTATTATCTACCTGTAGGTCTATCTAGTACTGGTGTTCTATCTATTATTGTCTACCTGGATGTCTATCTTGGACTGGAGGTATATCTGTTATTGTATACCTGGAGGTCTATCTAGGACTGGTGTTCTATCTAGGAATGACATTCCAAACCGTTTCCTCGTCTTGGTTGGGGTTTCTGCAGTTCTACTCTCAGCTGAACTACTCAGTAAGTCTCCTAATAATATTATTGCATGTTAACAGGAGAACATTTAATGATTTTGAGCTACGTCGCTTAACTACCTACTGCCGGTTCTAATTTTAATTGAGTATAAGGATTTGAACAGGTGATTCAAATTAAAACCGGCGCGGCGGTAGGCAGTTGAAATTAATTAACAATTTTGTTTCCTGGATCCGGATCCGCCAAAAACCTGCGGATCCACGAATCCGGATCCAAGGGGCAAAATATCAACAAAAAACTGTGAAAAATCATGAACTGTTGAAAAAGAGAGATAAATAAAAGAATCTTTATTTCAGAATGGTTCATAAAGTTTTAGCATAAAAAGCCAAAATAATTACCTGGATCCAGATAAATTTTTTTCTGGGCGATCCAGGATCCGAAACCGCAAAAAAAATACATGGATCCTTAGCATTGCCTATTTTTGTTTATGTTTGAGTATATTCAATGTACCTGGATTAGGTAAGGATTGATCATGTTTGGTTAGATCCAGATTTATTCTTTCTGGATTTAGTTGACAAGGTTTGGGTTCCGTTTTCTCTCCAACCCAGTCTAGGTAAAACAAATTAGGATCTAACATCAAATTTAGTTTAAAAGGGACTGTCAGCGTAATTTCGAGTGATCTTTAGTGCAAAAATTTAATGTCCGATTCACAGTGGAAGATGTTGTCGTTTTTCCAGGTCTAAAAGTGTTTAATTCTGATAATTTATATACGTTTTACTGCATAAAATATGCTCAATTGTCGCTGTTTAAGAAAAATCGCAAATGAAAATAATTGTTTTTCAAAATTATTTACATTGATGCATTCATACTTTATCCGAATAAAGCTTTTAAGTGTAAGTGTACAGTTGTGAATCGGGCATTGCCATATTTGCACGAAGGGTCACTTGAAATTACGCTTACAGTCCCTTTAAAACAGCTCTAAAAGCAGTGTATGTTAACAAAGTACACGGAAAACATAACTCGTAAATATACCTGCAGAGTCGAATTCAAAGATTTGTGACTGAGGACGAGGGGTTTCGACCGAGGTTTCCTGAAACCAGAAATGTAAGTTAGTAAGAAATATTAGAAGCTGGAGTAATAGTACTGCAACACTCAGCTACTAATAGCAAAGTGAACAGTCCGCAGTGTAAACTGTTTAGTGTAAAGTGTATACACTGTACACGGTACACGCTCATCTGACCTAGAGGAAACTGACGTAAGTGTTTTCTTGACCTAAGGTTTTACTGACCTCGGAGTTTCTGACCTGAAATTCTAATCCATCTTCAAATAGGTTAGGCTAGGTAAAGCTGGGCCGGTGGAGTTGGATGGGGGTTTGACAAAGTTAAAATCGGGAGTCAATTTAAATTCGTAAAAACGCGCGGGAGAGTTAAAACTACTCAATATTTTCTTTAAGACTACTCAATAATTAGTTCTGATCTTACCTTTATGCCGGATTCCTCTGGGTCAATTACTAAAGAATAGTTTGCAGTTTGCAATTTACAGTGTGTGCAGTTTGTAGTGTACTGTATAGTGTACACTTGGCAATGTATATAGTGTCCTGTACATTGTACAGACTGTACGGTAAGATATACCTCTGGTTTGAGTTGAAGTGTCATCTCTGAATAAGAATGAGAAATTCTTCTTGTGACTGGAACAGGGTCTTCAAGATCCAAACTTCCAGACTGCTCAAGTTTACTGTTTCTACTAATCATACAGTTCATATCATTTACATGTTGTGTTTATTTTTAAATTAATAAAAATAAAAATTGGCATCTTCAATACTAAAAATATTAATTTGATAAAGGACTGTCAAGAACAGAAGTTGAGATAAAAGACCTTAAAAAAAGTTCATTTTATCATTCATTACATCTGTCAAATCAACAAAATATAAATATTTCTCTGTTCTTAATTTCTGGGTTAAAGGGACTGTAAGCGTAAAATTAAGTGACCCTCAATGCAAAGATTGCTATGCTCGATTCACAACCATACCCTTAAAAGCTTTGCCTGATCAAGTTTGAATTAGATATCAATGTTTATAATTTTTAAAACTGATTGATTTCAATTGTGGTTTCTCTGAAGAAGTGACTTGCGCATTTCTCCCACAGGAAAACATATCGGAATTATAGTTAAAACAACGTTTGCCACATTATTTATCAAATAAAGGTTTCAATTGCACCGTAGTGAATCGGGCATTGCCATCTTTGCATAAAGGGTCACTTAAAATTACACTTACAGTCCCTTTAATCATCTAAAATTATGTTTCAAGCAAGTTTAAAGAGGAAATCAAGGAAATGATATTTCCCTGCTTCGTTCTGCTTTAAGTTCAGCATACTTCTCCAGACTTGTATCTACAGTTTTCGCCAGCTTTCCCTTTACCTTTAAATTTACAAATGAAAATCTAGTATTTGGGACAAACTTAAAGGGACTGTAAGTGTAATTGTATGTGACCCTGCATGCAAAGGTGGCAATGCCCGATTACCAACGGTACCCTTGAAACCTTAATTAATGTGGAAGAAAGCTTTTAAGGATACCGGTGGTGAATAGGACAAGATCATCTTTTGTGTAGAGGGTCACTGCACAATTAAGCTAACAGTCCAATTAAACTTTAAATCCAATATTTTATCAAACTCACAATAATTGGAAAGAAATTATATTAAAAGAACGCGAATATAAATTAGGTTTCTGTTTCTGTTTAAAAAAAACATTCTGCACTTCTAATCTGAAAGGTCATGAAATTAAAATGACACGGTCAGGTCAAATTTATGCGACATAAAAAGTGCAAATGTGTGACATCACAGCTCCTGATTTATTAAAAATTCATAACATATTTGGTATTGTCAAAACCTCTTCAATAAGAAAGTTATGATTGAAAACACGTCAGATTTCAATCTTACGTGAAATTTACTCTAGTTTGACGTGTCGTATGAAATTTAAAAGGTCAGGAAGGTAAATCTAGTTTGTCAGTCCTTACTTGATGAAGCCATGATCCCTCCTGCTCGTCTTTTCCTCCTGGATCTGGAGCAAGCTTCGCAAAGGAGATTAACAACCTCTCCTAAACATTAGTCGTTCCTTTATAAATGAAGATACAAGGCGTTTATTTTAAGGCGATTTAAAGCATTATTCTATCAATAAAAGACGATTTTAGGTTTTAAGAACGTTAGTAAAGTATAACAAAAAGAGAATATATTTTATTAGTTTTACTTGAAGTGTAAAAATTATTAAAACCTAGGAATTTGAGCTACGTTGCAGAACTACAAATTTGAACCACCGATTCAAGGTTAAAGATTAAGGAAAGATTTTAATCGGTGATTCAAATTTGAACCGGCGCGGCGGTAGGTAGTTCAAGTTAATTAAATTGTGTCCCTGAATATACAAGAGCTGGATCCGGGTTCGAGATTAAGGACGAATCCAGCTCCAGGACGGATTCAGCTCCAGGACGGAATTAGCACTTCTTTATAGAGTATAAACTTGCCTTGAGAGGAGATGTGTCCTTGTCCAAGGGCAGGGATGGAAAACTTGTATAAGAATCCTTCAGCTGATCAGTAGATGAACTAATGGAGCTTTCTAAATGATCCAATTGGCCGATCGGGGTAATTGATTGATCAGACTCCTCTGAGGATCGAGTAGGAGGAGTTGATGAATAATCAACAGAAATCAATTTAGGATCGTTACTCTGGCTGCTTGAAATCGATCCAGGCTCAGAGGAAGTAGTTTCATTGACACTAACATTCTCTTTTTCAGAAAAACCTAGAAACAAATTGAAATATTTACAACAATTTATTTTTTGCTTTTAATTTAAATACAAAACATTAAACTACTTCAAGTATCACTGAAAAAGGCAAAAAAAATCGAATATATTAATAAATGTTTAGAACAATTTAGATATATTTAAAATCAACTCATTTACACGGGTTTACGACGAAAATGTTGTTAAATTAATTCTTTGTGAATAATTCTAATAAAAACTATTTAAATAACACATACTTAAAAAGCCTAAATGAGGTTAAAAAATAAAATATAGAAATGTATGAACGGAGTTTTCGGAATTCTATTATTGTTTGAAGAATTAGCATTTTCTACCTTTTGTGGTATGAAAAAGATGTATGAATCTATAAACCATGCCACTGTTTATTAAACTATTATCTCAAAACAAATGTAAGGTTTAACTGCAAATATAAAACGTTTAGTCACACGCTTTAAAACAAGTTTTTATAGTTATTTATTTATATAAATATATAAATAACTAGGCTTACACGCGCCCATCTTTGTTTTCAATTGTAAACATTTTTTCTTTGTATACATTGCATGGAAAACAATAAAAGAAAAAAATTTCGCGGATTTTATAAAATAATTTCTTAGATTTTCAAAATTTAATGACAAATCAAATTTTGTTGAGGGCTTATTTTTGAAATATCAATCATCCATAAACTTTTCCTGGGATCATGTGAGGTCCCATTCAAAATTATGGCCCGATCGTTTTGGTTTTTGACGTTTATTGGATAATAAACAAACAAACACCCAAAAACAAGCAAACAGAGAAGCAAAGTATATATATAGATGTATAATTAAATACAGAACCTCTCATATCATATTAGATTATCTCAAAGCTTTAACGCCAAAATAAGCACATAATACTCCAAAAACCTGGTATTTTCTACAAGAAAATTTTTATTTCAGCTTTAAATATTTTTTAACGACTCGTTATTTTTAAATTACTAATTAGTCCCTTAAATCTGAATTTAGAGCTATAAACGATCTAATATGTTGTGGGACACCCTGTAATATACAGATACTATAAACGATCTAATATGTTGTGGGACACCCTGTAATATACAGATACTATAAACGATCTAATATGTTGTGGGACACCCTTTAATATACAGATACTATAAACGATCTAATATGCTGTGGGACACCCTGTAATATACAGATACTATAAACGATCTAATATGCTGTGGGACACCCTGTAATAAACAGATACTATAAACGATCTAATATGCTGTGGGACACCCTGTAATAAACAGATACTATAAACGATCTAATATGTTGTGGGACACCCTGTAATATACAGATACTATAAAAAATACGGAGACGGTAAATAAAAAGTAATCTATAATACAATCTTTATAGGCGCTTTTATCCAATTGAAAATTAAGAAATAAAGATAATTTAGAAACTTTTCGCAAAAAGTTAAGTTTTTCCGAGCATTGAAGGTATAATGTGGTTAAACAGAAAAAAAACATTGATTAAAGGGACTGTCGGCGTAAATTTAAGCAATCCTTAATCCTAACAGGTTGCCAACAGTAGCCTTTAAACTTTGTAAAAAAAAATTTGGTGATTAAATAATTTTGGAAAAGGTACAGACTAATATTGGAAACCCTATAAATTAAAAATGGACACCACAGAGTTTAAAATACCCTGGTGATTAATATTGGACACTATAGGGATTAATAATAAAAAACCCTAGATATTAATATTAGAAACCCTAGATATTAATATTGGAAACCCTAGAGATTAATATGGAAACCCTAGAGATTAATATTGGAAAACATAGAGATTAATATGGGAAACCCTAAAGATTAATATGGAAACCCTAGAGATTGATAATATTGGAAACCCTAGAGATTAATATTGGAAACTCTAAAGATTAATATTGGAAACTCTAAAGATTAATATTGGAAACTGTAAAGATTTATATTGGAAACCTTACAGATTTATACTGGAAAACCCTAGATTCCAATGCTAATCTGTAATCTTTAGGGTTTCCAATAGTTATGAGATTACTATTGAAAACACTACTACACAGATAAATAAAGAAACCCAAAACAAAAAACATTTAAAAACTGAAAAAAATAAGACGTGATTTTAATAACAAAGAATGAATTGTATCTTAACATTTTTTTATCTAACAGTAAAAATTCACTTTTTTGAAATTAAAGTCACGCGTTTTACTTGTTAAACCAAAAAAATGTCATGCAGCAAGCATCGTTAAATATATCCCCCCTCACCAAGAAACTGATCAACTATCTCCAAACCCTGTGAGTTAGAACTGAACCTTAGAGTTGGAAGTTCCTGATTTCGTCCTATATTAGTATCAGTCTTAATAAATAGCATTATACAAACAAAAATCGATAGTTTTTTATTTGTTTTTTTTATTTGGTTCTAATGAATATCTCTTTAAGTATTAAAATTTGGCAAAGTATAAGAAAATCAAATGTTTAAAATAAACAGTTTTGAAAAGAGTAAAATTTTGTCAAAATTTTGTGGAACCTTTAAAAGTTCGAAAATCTAGAGAATGAAAATGAAGCTAAATACCCAACACAATCTATATTAGTATCAGTCTTCGAAGCATTATACTATATATAGGCATTTAAGGCAAAATAATGATAATAAACAATAAATCAACATTCCATTAGTTTTTTTTTTGGGGGGGGGGCCTGACATGGGATCCATCTTTCACGTAAAAAAATCATTGAAATATTCTGGTCATAGGAAACTTTATGTGTGAATTATCAAAATTGTCTTAACGCTTTTAACCTCCTCGGATACTAAACGAACAGTGAAGGATATATTCTTGTTTATAAATTCCGCCCAGAGAGAACTGGTTTTAATATGTGCGCAGAATATACGCAACTGCAATTTACTTTCCTTGCATTATAACCTTGACTAAAAGCTATGTATATTATATATTATTATGCAATGCATATTAGTAATAAGCATATTAGTATAAAACGGTGCACTATACGGGCCGGTACGGATCACTGGTTCGGATCATGGAGTTTTGAACTAATAGATTAAGCGTGATTGCATGTAATGTTATAGTAAAATGAAGAAACAAACCGTTACATCAAACAGAAAAGTGCAAAGGTTAATGCATCATAGCATAAGCAAGTTAGTCATTTTAAGTTTGAAATTGTCACAGTTTTACTTCAAGGGACTGTTAGCGTAATTTCAAGTGATCAAAGATAGGAATGCCCAATTTACAACAGTACCCTTGAAACCTTTAACTGATCAAAAATCATCGTTGTGAATCGGGGGATCGGGGATGCCCCTCTTTAAATGGAAATTCACATGAAATTACGCGCACAGTCCATTTGTAGTTTTACCCAACACATTATTTATCCTACCTTTCAACTTGTCAAAGCTAAATTTGCTCATTGTGTCGAATATCTATCTATTCCCTTTCAAGTAGGTAGGCTCAAACCTGGATGCGAAATCATTATTCTGAAAAATAAAAATCATAAAGAAGGAATGTTTACATAGACATTGGTAAATATATCAGGTAGAGATACTTGATCAGGTAAATATATCAAGTAGAGATACTTCATCAGGTAAATATATCAGGTGGATATACTTGATCAGGTAAAAATATCACAGGTTGACTAGTATATTCATTTTACTCCACAAACTTCAACTTTAGTAAGGACTACAGCTCCTACTCTTCAACTCTTTATCCAATAAGTACTTATTAAATTCTTTGGTCCCATTACAACTCTCCTCCAAGAATTCTCCTACTCCTGCAGGAATTCTCCTACTCCTGCAGGAATTCTCCTACTCCTCCTACAGGAATTATTCTACTTCTCCTCAAGGAATTCTTCTACTCCTCCTCCATGAATTCTCCTCCTCCTCCAGGAATTTTCCTACTCTTCTAAGAATTCTTCTCCTCCTTCAGTAATTCTTCTCCTCCTCATCCTTCAGGAAGTCTTCTACTCCTCCACTAGGCTTTCTTTTTCTCCTCCAGCAAATTCTTCTACTCCTCCGGAATTCTACTACTCCTTCTACAGGAATTCTTCTACTCCTCTCGGAATTCGTCTACTCCTCATCCAGGAATTCTCGTACTCCAACAAGAATTCTTCTACTCCTCCTCCATGTCTAGGTCTAGCAATGACTCCCTGATGAAATTGATCCACGGAGTGTTCTTCCTTCTCCTGGTCACATCTGTATTCTCGTCGTTCACAATAAACTCCAGAACGTTGACAAACGCGTCTATCAGATGAATAGAGTTTTCATTCTTCCTGAATCAGCAATGATTCTAACAAAATGTATTTCTTTTTATAAAAATAGCCAAGGGTTTTATTTTGAAAACATTTATTAACTTTTATTATTATTTCTTTACTTATTACTGCAAAATTAATACCATTAAAGGCACTGTCAGCTTAATTTTATGTGACCTTCCAAGGAATGATTGCAATGCCCGATTCACAACGGTATCCATAGCAGCTTTGTCTGATCAAGTATAAATTAAATAAATGTTAATAATTTAATTTTTTAATTTTTAGGTTTTTCTACAAAAAGACTTGGGCATTTCTACTGCACTTATAAAACCTAGAAATACTTATAATATCTGCCTCATTTTTGATTAGATTTAGGATTCAAGGGTACCCGTATGCATTGTCATCTTTGCGTGGAGGATTACTTTAAATTACGCTCACAGTCCCTTTAACGGGACTAGACATTGTGCCCGTATGGCTAAATTATACAAGGTTAGGTTTAGGTTGGAATCATCCCTGATATCTGAAAGTGAGAACCCTGGGGTTTCAGTTACACGACGTTGTTTAAGATGGTGCTGCGGGTAAGAAGAGTCTATACAAATGTTGTGTGAATATTTGAAGAAATAATTTAGGTTCGTTTTGGTTTTCATCTTCCTTAAATTGTTTAGACTTGGCTTCGTGTTAAAATAGTTAACTTCATGAAAACATATTTTGGTAAAATTCATTTTATATTGATGAGGAGCTAATTTCTAGTAAAACCAGAATTAAATTGAAAATGCCTTTAAACAGGTTTATTATGACACAGTTTTGTATTGTGAATAAGTTCCCTGCAACAACAAAACAAAATCTGACCTACGAACTGTGTCAGGATATCGTTGAACTTAATCTCAGGTATGGGTATCTCCTCATCCATGTACATAGTCAGCTTCATGCTGTCGAAGAAGAACGTGAACAAATCGTTCTCACTGAGGTATCCATCACAGTCTGTATAAAGTATTCAATAAAAAATAGTTTTTTTCTTATAATATTATCTTTTTTTGTCGTTAAAAAGTTTAATAATAATATTGATAACTATCCCTTCCTCATTAAACAAAAATCAGTTTATCAACAAATTCTTTTGTTTTTAACCTAAAATCTTAATAAAGCAATCAAAATTATTCAATATTGTTAAACAAATATACTCAGAGCAAAACTTGAAAAAAAAACAATAAAAAAACAATATTATAACAACTTTGTCGAGAAATGAAATGAAAAAAGTTATCTAATGATACAGAGCCAAGTAAACAATTAATGAAGTCGGCAAACATGCCTTATTTTGGTTTTAGTTTTTCAGTTGACGTCATCAGAATGTCGTAAATGATTGCTGACGTCAATAGGTCACATGAGCTGGAGTGAGTATACTTTTGATTTTCTGCTTAATCCTCTCTTTTGAATATCCATGCCGGGTTCCCACCAATGAGAGTTCTCTCATTGCGCGAAAATTTTCCCGGCATCTGATTGCCTATTTGGTTTTGCAAACGACACTCTGAAAGATTAAATTAATCTGCAGATTAACAAAAACAGCAGATCAGTTTCAAGCATTGATTTCGATTCCAACTCTGGTTTAAATTTAATATAAATACCTAGATCAAGAACTCTGAACCAGTAATGCACTGAACTTGAACTAGATTTATCTATAACTGCCTTCTGGTAGAGAACAAAATCTTCGAAGGACATGAGACCGTTCGGGGAGGTCGCTAGATTCACCTATGTAGAGAATATTTAGTTGAAAACAAAATGAAAATAATAATGAACTTATGAAACCTTGTTTAAATTATCGTGAACATATTAAAAATTAGTCCACTAACAAAAATATTATAAGGAGCTAAAATATGTCATTAATGATCCTTTTAAGGATTTACCACTTGGCTTGAGCTGAAGAAGATTATAAGTTTTATCAAATTCTAAGTGTGTTGCATTAGAATCAAGAACTACAAATTATAACATAAATTGGAGATTAGCATTTAGCACTATAGTTATATTTTTGCAATACTTTTTTTCTTTATTTTATTTCTTGCTTTTTAAAATAATCTCTGTTTTTTTGTTAATATTTTTCATATGCTTGGTCAAGATCATAACTATGAGAAGATTTAGCATTCTAATGAAGCATAACTTTATTAACATCAAATTTTAAGAATTATACCTCAAAAATTCTGTTAATAATTAGTCTGGTCATCATTCCTGAAGTTGACTTTTCAAACTCCAACTTATCTAGAAAACAAATAGAAGGTTTCAAAAACGGTAGAACAAAAAGTAAAAGAAAAAAAGACCTTGAATTTTTGGCTGTTATGAAATTATAAATCACCAATCCTCAAAAAATTGAAAAAATCTATCATGCAAAGCACATTTTAAAAAGTGAGTAAATATTTTGAGGCACATAAGACTTAATTGTTTAGCTGTGCAAAATTTAAGTTTTCGCCTTCTTTAATCAATAAGTCAGTTTGCTTAAAAGATAGATTTGGTATTAGGACATTTTGTAGACAAGACATTTCATAGAAGGGTACATTTTTCATGAAAGGGTAATTTCATAGACAGAAAAGCCTTTTTTGGTCAACAAAACATGTGTCTCAATTTAAGAAAAAACGACTTTTAGGGCGCTTCGCGCCCATCTTCCATTTCATTTGTAAACATTTTCTCTTTTGTATACAATTAAAAACAAAATCAAAAATATCGCGGATTTTATAAAAAATTCGCGGATTTTCAAAATTTTCAAAAATCGAATTTTGCTGGAGGCAAAATTTGAAAATTCGATCATCCATAAACCTTCCTATGGGGTCACGCGAGGTACAGCAAGAAAATTTGAGCCGGTTCGGTTCAGCCGTTTTGACGTTTATTGGATACAAACGGACAGACAGACTAGCAAAGTATATACATAGATAGTCTGTCCATGAAATATCCGATGTGTGAAATTTCTAGTTTATTTAATTTCCCAACAACGCCGAATATTTATGTCTGAAAATGTTTTGGTTCATTTAAATAATGCTCATGCTCACCTAACATATAATCTTGATTACTGTCTAGGTTGAGGAACTGAACGTACAGTACATAAAATTGATCATATGAAAAATGTTCTACCTCCACAGAGGACAAATCTGAGTACACATACACCTGTCAGTATCAATAAATCAATCAATCAATCAATCAATCAATAAATCAATCAATCAATCAATCAATCAATCAATCAATCAATCAATCAAAACTATCTAACTTCCCTCAGAGGTTAACATGTAACCAGTTTTTTCTTTTTATGAAATTCTTAACTTGACTTTGGAAGAGGATGAGGAAGGGATTAAAAATGAATGGGTATTGGGTAAAATATATGTCTGTTGTTAGGCTAAAATTCGGTTGGTTTTAATAATATTTTGCCCGAATTAATATGAGAATTCTGAACCTACGTCCCCAACTTCAACTCCTATGTAAACACACTATTCAAGGTTAGGTTAAGGATAAGTTAGATAGATAGCATCACTATGGCTGCTTATTTGAAAAAAAAGAGGGAGGGGGGGCGGGGAGGGGCCAGGCGATGCTTAAAAAATTACCTTATGTAGACAATCAATAAAATTAGTTTGTTTGAGTTGTTTAAATGACAGTTCTCTTCTAGCCCACCCATCTCCAGCATACAGCACAGACATCAAAACAGTACTCCTAAACATGTTTCTATAATCTATATTCTTAAACGTATAAAAAATACATTAAATAAAATAACAATAATAATAATAAAGTAGTTAATTAATTTTCTATAATTGAAACAATATCCTATCTAAATTAGGCACAGATTATTAAATCATTAAAAAATTAAAATCAACAAGGCCAGATTGTACGAAAGAAAAAAGTAGTTAACCTTGCAGTATTCAGTTCCATTACTTCGTTTTAAACATTATCCAGAATTAATTTAGATAAATTGCAATAATTACCACTATAAAAAAAATACTACCTCTAAAAAATGACATCCAAAAAAAGTTTTTCATTATTTCTTATTTTGTTCTTGAAGTTTAAGTCCAGAATGAACAAACCCTTAATCGAAGTAGATTTAAATCCGAGACGGTCATCCAGGAGGTTTGGAGTTTAAAGGAGATTGGTGGAGGTTGAGAGTTTACCTGTAGCAATCCATCATCTTGTCCTGGTATGATGAATCCTCCTGCCGGAAGAACTCTAAGCTTGGATCCGACCTCAACATTGATAACTTAATAAAACTCCAGGTTTTAGGAACTGTGAAGTCATATAATAATACTAGCTTGGAGATCCAGCCCAGCCCAGGGTACTCATAGTTACTCCCGCCATTTTCCGCGATTGGTCGTAAAATACGATTTTAGCTTTTCCTTTTAAAAGCAGAACCACTCAACTTAGAATCTCAAAACCAAGCTAAGAGTATTCCCATGGTTCGCCCGGGTTCCCCAATCAAAATTTAAGGCTAATCAGTCAAAGTGATTATGAGTTTTGATCGGACATACAAACAAACAAAAATTACTGCTTTATATTAATCGATGCAGGATGTTCCGAAAAACATGGAACTTCAAAACCAATAAAATCGTCTTTGGTTACAATCTCTTGATAAAGGTTTAAGAGTGTATCTTAAAATGGTCTAAAATCCTATGAGCTTTACAAAGTAAGGGCTAGCTTATATACGGAGTTATCTGATATTTAGAAAACATTATTTGATCATATATAAAAGTTAATTCTGGAAAATAGAAGACCCCATCATGGAAATCTCAAGACTTTTAGTGGGCATTTGTTTTGACTGAAGTACTATAGTCATTATGTTTACAAAAAAGCTACGACAAAATAAAATTTGTTACTTAAATGTCATATTTTATGGGACACCCTGCTCTAAAGATGATTAAAACTTACAGAATAACATCATTGACGATACTGTCAATCTGGTGAGCCTTAACTCGTTTATCTTGTCCAAACCTCGTCAGTATATTAAAAACCGCCTCTTCCTTATCTACTCCCTTAAAAGAGGTGGGATTAGTAGAAGAAGTTAGGCTAAGACTAAGAGTGTACGAAAGAAGTAGTTCAACTAGCAATGCCTATTTAAACTAATTCTCGCTATAGATTACATCTGACCTCGGATATCTCTATAAGTTTTAAACTATCTTATAGTTAATCCTGTATAAATTTCAACAAGTTTAAATAATGAAATTATTATACAAACAACCGTTTTTTAACATTTATTTAAGACAGAATTTACGAAAACGAAGACTGAGCAGATAAATTAGTGATATTCCGTGTAGGCTAGGAGTTTGCTTATTGTTTAAAATAGACCCCGTTGTAGAAAAGGTTTAATATTAGCCTTTATATTTATATTTTTTGTAAGATGTAAGGAATTTTTTTTAAGGCGGATCCCAATCCTGAAGCCCTACTGTTTAAAAAGTTGAGAGCTTGAAACTATAAAAATTTGGATATCTAGATCAATGCTTGATCCTCTTTTTTGTTAATTTTAAGATTAATTTACAGATATGGGAGGAAAGCGTGCTTTCTAATTTTTAAAAACCGGTTTTTTATTCGGCTGTAATTGTCATATCAATTGAACCAGCGTAGGTTTGGACTAATGTTTATTTGGACTAACGTTCAAAAGTACTATAAAGCTCCTTGAACAAACATTTGTTCAATTGAACTAATTTTTTATTCTTTAAAAATTATCGCCAACAAATTTTAAAGCATTTTACAAATAAAATTGATATGACGTAATCTAGATTATTTTCTGTAAGGTTAGGTTACGACCATTTCAAGGCCAAGTGCTTTGGCTAGAACAGTCTATAAAAATCCTACCTGGAGATATATTGCCCGTCTTTGATACTCTGTAAGAAACTCTGTGCAAGTAAACTCTCCTGTTACTGGTCTGTTAAATGCAGGGAATAAAACTGATCTCAGGTAGAACGGGAATTCAAGTAAACTGCACAATGGACCAGCGGTTTCTAGAAATAATAAAAAATTAACTATTTACGTAATTATGTAGAATGGGGTGACTGAAAGGTCGAGTGACTTCAGCCAAGAATTTAATGCATGTTTCCGATGCCCCCACCCCCCCAAAAAAAGACCATTATTGTAAACTTTATTTTCCTCTAAATTTTGTCAAACATTAAAATTAATCTCCCAGAGGGAATCTGATTTCTAGTCAGACGCCTTAACCACATAAACACTAAAATCGCGAAAAAATCACAAGAAAATTAATAATTCCAACAAATTGTTCAAAACTTCTTTATTGTTGAACTTTATATTATGAGTTTTTAAGATGACCTACATGTTAAGCACTTCTATACCTATAGTTAGTAATAGAGTTTATAAACTCTTGAATCTGAAACCTATTGTTAGTGTTCCCATGATAGAGTTTAAGAACTCTTGAATCTGAAACCTATGTTAGTGTTCCCATGATAGAGTTAAAGAACTCTTGAATCTGAAACCTATAGCTAGTGTTCCCATGTATAGAGTTAAAGAGCTCTTGAATTTGAATACCTATTGTTAGTGTTCCCATGATAGAGTTAAAGAACTCTTGAATCTGAATACCTAAAGTTAGTTTTCCCATGATGGAGTTAAAAAACTCTTGAATTTGAATACCTATTGTTAATGTTCCCAAGATAAAGTTAAAGAACTCTTGAATTTGAATACCTATAGTTAGTTTTCCCATAATGGAGTTAAAAAACTCTTGAATTTGAATACCTATTGTTAATGTTCCCATGATAAAGTTAAAGAACTCTTGAATCTGAATACCTATAGTTAGTTTTCCCATGATGGAGTTAAAAAACTCTTGAATTTGAATAACGAAGGGAGAGGAAAGCACTGTTACGGGGACCAGGGGAAGGTAGAATGCAGGGATTTGAAGTATGGATCTAAAAATAACCAGGTTTATTAAATAAAAAAAAATACGGAATTTGTACGTTTCTCCTTGTTTAAATTGCAAAAATCTTGATTTTTGAAATTTTAAAAGAATTTTCATCTTAACTAAAGTGTCCCATATTTTTCATAAAAGATTTACAACAGTAACCCGAACCCCACATGATCTTACTCTGAGTGTCAATTACACAGTTAACAAATGGCTTCACCAAATAGTGAATAAATGGCTGAAATATATCTGACAATGAAAACAAAAACAATGGGTTACCATTGTTACTCAAATCAAGGTATTGTGAATAGTCGACAACACTTTTTGTATAAAAGGTCACTTATGAAAAGTAATTATGATTTTACATAAATAAGGAATGAAAGCGCAATTTTAAGTGACCTTTCAGGCAAAGATGACAATGCCCGATTCACGATGGTACTGGTAAAAGGTTTGTCTGATCAAGTATGGATTAGACATCAATGTTTCTAATTAGAAAAAATGATTATTTTGCATTGTAGATTCTCTACTTTCGTGACTCGCGCATTTCTACTCCAGGAAACAATAAGGAAATATCAAAAATAAATATTTTTAACCCTAGAAAGACAACTATATATTTGATAAAAGTTTTAAAGGGTTCCGGACATTGTCATCTTTGAATGGAACTTCACTTGAAATTAGGCTTACAGTCCCTTTAAGATAACAAATTACTTACGCAGTATGATCACACTCAGAATTACATTCCACATGCACTTGTCTTGATTTTCTTAATCACAAGAAATTCATAGAGTAAATCCAATTATTCTATCAAATTAGAATGTAAAAAATTATTGCTCTTTCATTCTATTTTATTTTTCATATTTCTTCGATTCCTTTTATCAGATCCTGTTCCTCGGCCTTGCTTGGACCTTCTGCTAATGAGTTTAGCCAGTGTTCTAATATGTGCTGGCTTATCTGGACAAGATCTAAACAAGAACATATTTAATCTTTACTCAGGGAGCAATAAGTTTAAGTGCTGGCTTATTTTGACAAAAATTTTTTAGCAAGAATATATTATTATATAACCGTACTCACACCTCAGCGAGCAATGAGCATAAATAAAAGATGCAAAAAATACCTTTCGATATGATTATGAGGTTCGTGTAATTCTTGATCCTCGTTGAACTTATCATAAATTGCATAATCCTGACTTAGAGGATTTGGAGTAGAATGCCTGCAAATGTTCTGTCAATGTTAAAATAAAAAAGTAGCATAAAACTAAAAAATCTTATGAATATAATTTTTCATTTAATAAAATAATTTTAAAAATGTAAGAGTATATATTCTATAGGTTGAACTAGTTCGGAACAGCTATATGAACTGCATTACTGGTCTGATTCAAGATGATCTCTGGAGCAAGAAATAGCTATGGGTAGGTTGATCAAATCATAAAAGGAATATCAACCAGAAAAGTGGTTTGCTCTACAGGATCATGTAAATGACTCTGCTGCTAGTAGGGCGTTATGCTGCGTCAGAGGCGGAAATACACTGTTAGGGAACAGGTTTAAGAACCGGTATGGCAGGGTGTACGAGTGGTGCCCACACTGTGAAGTTGTCCGTGGTAAGAGAGTGGCCCTGAGAGAGTCTCACATGATATTTTGCTGTCCCGCTGTCGCACGACAACAAAGAAGCTTAAAGATATCTGCCTACAAGGCAAAAGCTGTGTACAACGGACAAAGAACGCCTCAGTCTGTCCTCAGAGCTTACTTGGGAGGTGATGGAGCTCCAAAAATGATCCTGCTGGAAAGAGGAAGGAGAATGGCCATTATGATAGAGGCATGGCTCCTAAAAACTCATGAATAGCTCAATAAAGGTATGGATCAATATTATCAACAAACCGAGGAGAATCAGAAATGATTCTGCTCCGGGCGGACCGCCCAGCAGTAAGCCTCCTACCGGGGTGGTGGAAATACTACCCTTGGATACGTTAGGTCGGAGAGGAGCACCAACCCCAAGCATGGCTCCTAAAAATTCACGAATAGCTCAATAAAGGTATGGATCAATCTTATCAACAAACCGAGGAGAATCAGGAATGATTCTGCTCCGGGCGTACCGCCCAGCAGTAAGTTTCCTACCGGGGTAATTTTTTTTTTATTCTTGGATACGTTAGGTCGGAGAGGAGCACCAACCCCAACCTCACCGAGTGCAGGGTTGTCTTTCAATAATAATAATAATAATAATAATATATACATAAATCTATCCATATTCTGAAAATGGTAAAAAATTGTATATATTTTTTCCATTGACATTCCTAGGAGGAGAAGGAGATGAGTCCCAAACTGTTGCCTTCAGGTCGCCAGCAGAAAGAGCAGGTTTCTCTGATGACGGACCAGAAATAGATGAGATGGTATCTGACCCCAGAGAAGATGCAAAGCTTGTAGAAGAGGAAGCTTGTGTTGTTGAAGTAGAAATCTGATTCTTTACGCTAGGTTCATAAGAACTATTCAGACCTTCTGAAGAATGCCCTAAGGACTTGTTTGTCTTTGATGTCTTTGGCGATAAATTTGTAACTTTTTGAGACTTCCTTTTTCTATAGAAGGAATTATCACAAGATTTAGAAGATTCCTTATGCTTAACTGAGAGCTCATGAGTATTATCTGGAGAACTTGTGTTTTGTGTGGATAAATTTTCAGGTTTTGAGGATGTTATGGCTGGTAACAAAGCTGTCGTGGATTCTGCTGTGATTGAAATGGATGGTAAAGGTAATATTAGTGGAGATGATAAAGTTAACTGAGGCGGAGATGAAAAGGGCAAGGGGGGTGGATCCTCAGATGCTTGTGGTGACTCTGTTGAAGGAGAAGACAAAGGTACTGTGGGTGGAGAAGGCATCAAATTGAGTGACGTTTCAGAAGTAATGGGCGCTGCTACCCTTTCTATAGATATTGGCAAAGATTCTGCTGAATTGGAGGACGTATACTTTAACAGTAAACATGCTGGTGAGGTTGGTTCAGGTACTTGAGCAATTGGTTGACTGCTGACTATATCTTTGGTTTGCAAACATGAACTTTTATCATGAAAATCGGAAAATTCTGATTTCTGATTTGAGTGAATGGAGAGTTGAGAAAGATGTAAGGACAGTCCAGCTGTTGCTGAACTTTCCAATGCATTCTCTTCGCTTGGTAAATAAGATAGGTCTTCACTGCCTTCCCCTTTGCTGTATTTGTCTTCTTTTTGATCTGTTGGCAAGATTGGTTTGGATGTTATATGTACAGTCTGTTTAGAGTTTTCCTCTTTCAATGAAACATCTGATTGTAGTCTTGTTGAAGGAACAAAAGTTTTAGAGGACCCACATGATTCATCCAATTTTTCATTATTTGAATCATAGGCATTAACTAGGGATTCAACTAAAGTTGACGATAAAAACCTTAATTCTGAATCTCCACTAGTAGACAGGTCACTCAAGGGAGAGATATCAGGACCCTGACTCAGATTTAAAGACTGTTTGCAAATATCTTCTTTGTTAAGAATTCGACTGTTAAGAAAACTAGATTGCTGGCTGGCAGAGCACTGTTTTGAATTATTCAGTTCACTTAATTCAAGTTTGTTTTGTTCTTTCAAATCCTGAATATTCCTTTTTATTTTAAGCTGTGAAAGTGCATCATGCATATCTTGTGAAAGCCTCCTTTTATCCCCACAGCCAACTCTAGTGCCCTGCACATTATTTAATGGATCTCTTGGGGATCTCGGTGGAAACAAAGAACATGTTTCAGGTTTTGAGGGAATTTCAGATTTCTTAAACTTATTTTGCAATGCAGAATCAGTTCTGGCACATTTCACCCTTTGGACAATTCCTAAAAAAGATAAATTAGATAAGGTATAAAACTAATAAAGATTTTATGAATCTAGTTAGAAATTTTTTTTAAATTCCTAATTTACCTTTTAAATTTTCTAAAACCCCGGGCTCATTCAGGAACTGAACGAAAAGATCATCATATTTGCCATTAATATTAGGTATTAGGACCATTCTTCTATTTGAGGTTCTGAAAAAATTGAATTGTCATAAAATCAATGTAAAAACTATAAAATCTCTTACTTCTAACGAATTTTTATTGTTAATGGGTTAGTTCAACCAACTACTAAGCATTATTTGTTAATATGTGACTGACTGAGGAAAACATTACATTAAATCTAATGAAAAATGATAATTATATATAAAAATACTAAAAAATATTACGTTCTGCATAAAATTGCTAATACTTTAGTGGAGGAAAACAAACTTCATAATAAATTTACTTTCATCTATTCTAATAAGTTTAATTCACCTTTTATTGTCAGTTTTCATCAAAAATTTATCTTTTTTAACACAAATAATTTATTTGAAACAGAAATTAGAATTCAGCCTTGATCGGAATTTTGTGTTGCACATTGTAGATCTTAAACCTGTTATTTCGGTATCCAATGTGGACACTTTTAAAGTTGAAGAAACATATTTGATTCTTCAATTAAAGCTGCAGGGTACGATCACCACGGGACGAAATAAATAAAATGAATTAATCCGTGGGTCTGTATAAGTTGGAGAACAATGCTGGCTCCCGAAATTTATAAGACAAAAGTTCTAACTTCGTCACAAATTTTGAAAATGTACGCTTAGTACAATTTTTGTACATGATGAAATAAAAATGATTTTTCAATAAAATGGGCCCAAGGATGGAGGACTTCACATTACACAATTCACATACAATAAAAGACAAAAATTAATAAATAAAACATCACAGACATTTATCACAAGGGTGCCAGGACAAACTCCGGAAAGACAAACTCCTGAAAGACAAACTCCGGAAAGACAAACTCCGGAAAGACAAATTCCGGAAAGACAAACTCCTGACGAGACAAACTCCTGAAAGTAAAAACTCCTGAAAGACAAACTCCTGAAATTATGAAATTTTTCTCTGAATGAAATATGATAAAATTCATAAACTTTAGTAGAAAAAATTCGCAAATATCCTAGAAAAAATTTTCAATCTTTAGTAATTTGAATATGTTTCAAGCAGCAAAGTATTACAATGATCAGAATAACCAGCAAATTTATTATAATTTATTTTTTATTATTTAGGGTTAGGTTAGGTTAAGACACTTTCTGGGCCGAGCGCTGCGGCTAGGACGTGCTAGGGGGCCGAGCGATGCGGCCATGGGTTAGGTTAGTTAAGACACTTTCTGGGCCGAGCGCTGCGGCTAGGACAGGCTAGGGGGCCGAGCGCTGCGGCCATGGGTTAGGTTAAGTTATGACACTTTCTGGGCCGAGCGCTGCGGCTAGATTAAATAAAAATTGTGAAACATTTTTTTAAATTTCATATTTTGGAGTTTGTATTTCAGAAGTTTTTATTTTCAGGAGTTTGTCTCGTCAGGAGTTTGTCTTTCCGGAGTTTGTCTTTCCGGAGTTTGTCTTTCCGGAGTTTGTCTTTCAGGAGTTTGTCTTTCAGAAGTTTGTCCTGGCGCCATCACAAGGGTTAGACAGAAAACCAATTTATCTAATATTTTGGTTGATGTTAATCCGGATAAAATACAAGTTTAGTTTTTTTGCTACAAAATCGCGGATTACAAAAACTGAAGGATTTACAGACTAAATCAGGTAGCACTGTAAAATGGATCAAAAGGGGAAAATGTAATAATAAAAAAAGGACATAAATATTTTTCAAAGAATTGATTATTCCATCATTACATGCAAAGTTTACTATGTGAATGAGGAGAGTGTGATATTGAAAATTCTCTTCTACAGAAGATAAAAATTCTTCCATGAAACCGTTGCATATGGAATATGAATATGATAAAATAACAAAGTACAAAAAATGTCTAAATAGGGAAAACATGCTTCTTGATTAGTGGGAAGTAGCAAGCCAATCCAAATATATACTTCTAACTTACATTATTTCCTTCTTCTTTTTCTTTTCTGTTCCTCTAGTATTCCCAATTCCTCTAATTTTTCCTGGTTTAGCGGAGACAAATCCTCTAGTTCCACTAGACCAAGTATATTAACTCTAAGATCATCAATTTGCCTTAAATACATAAAATTATGGTCAAAAGAATTGAGTCTTTGCCACAAACTATGATTTTCTAATTCGAATATCTTTGTAAACCTTGGATATTTCAAACTATGAATTCTGATAGATCAAGTAATCCAAGTTTGAAATATCACAGGTTTACAACATCAGGTTGCAAAGATATAGGGATTGGAAAATTTGAGTTTGTGACAAAGACTCGTTTCCTTTAAACAGGCTTGTAAGGGAGGATTCATTGGGTCCGCCTCAAAAATGTTCAAACTTTTTACTCTGAAACCAAAACTGAACTGTTGAAAAAAAAAATTATTAAAAATTATCTAATCTCTGAATGGTTCATCAAGCTTTAGAATAAAAATAAGCGAAAAAAGAAGAAAATATTTTGAAAATTCTTCTATTAATAAAAGTCAGTAAATCTTAAAGAAATGTTCAATGTTCATGGCCTGGATCCATTATGTTTTAAGGATGGATCCAGAATCCGGATCTGGATCAGCGTCAAAATGAAATAAATGGACTAAGCAATAAGCAGTGAATTAAAGTAAACTTCATCTTAGATTGAACTCATGCATGATTTCGAACCAACATTCCTTTTCTGAAGACCTTTCATTTAGCATTTATTTTTTTAAATCACTATGTGATATGTGCATGGTTCAGTGTCAAATCAAAACTTAGAGAGTTACGAGGTCGCAAACTCGTTTCAGTAATTGCGCATGAAAAAAAACTGATAACGCGTCATTATCTATAATTTTTAATCTTAATATGTTAGCAATCTAATGTTGTGACCTTAGATACTTTAATCTTAGAGCTTAGCTAGACAAAACTTTAAATGTTTAATATAATTAAGATTTACGAATCGTCTGCTGGCAAAGTTATAGGTAGAAGAAAATCAGCGTTTAGGGATTATATTTAGGGTATATATTGAAGTGACAAATGTTGTTATTTAATATGTTTGTTGGTTATAAATTCAGTTAAAATTCTTTCATTGAGGGAAAGGTTTGCTGTAAAGCAGTGTCAATATCTTTACCGCCTTGATTAGTTTTTGTTTTTTTTTTCTAATAGAAACCTCACCTTTTATTAATTTTATAAGTTGTATAAATGTCTGAAATTGTGTTCAAACTACGTGATTCAGATTCATTGCTATTCTCCAGTAGGATATCTAAACAAAAAAACCGGATATCAAATAAGAACAAAAGATCAACCAATATTCCGTAGAAATTAAGCCCGTGTCCGAAAAAATCACCAGAAGGACGACCATTAATGTAAGTATTTTAGCTTAGGGATTTCTCTAGGATCAGGGGCGTATTCAGGAATTTGTCCAGGGGGGGGGCTTACATTTTTTTCTTTCCAGGGGGGGCTCAGCACCCGTTGAAAACCTCCTGAAATTAATAGATTTCAGTGGTCCAGGGGGGGCTTAGTAAAAATAAGAGGTGAATCGTTTTTAATGCTAAGGTTTTTATAAGGAAAGTAATATTTAGCTCTTAGACAAAATAAAAATATTTTTGAATGAATATTTCAGGGTGGAATGCCGTGGAAAAGATGCCTGGCGGAAATGTGGACTCGAGATAGAACTGGGAATTCCACTCCTGACTCTAATACTAGAGTTGTTCGAATCACTAAGCACAACGAACCATTGGTAAATTTTTTTATTTTTTTAAGCAACAGTTCACAGTACGTACAGACACACAGCCAAAAGTTACTAAAAAACCTTAACACTGCACAGCTTCAATGCTACACTGCTACACTGCTACAGTGCTACACTGCTACACTGCTAGACTGCTACACTGCTAGACTGCTACAAAGACAAATAGCTACAAAGAAACACATTGCGACTACAAAAAAAAATTGTCTAAAGGCTATAGGCAGATAAAAAGATTTTATGTTTATAAAATGCTACAGAGCTTTAAAGGTTTTATCTTAAGAGCTAAACACCCACATAGGTATAAATATAAAATGATACACACCTTAAAAGATTAATATTTAAACAGCGACTGGAGCTATAAAGTAGTATATATAAAATAGTTACACAGTTATACAAAACCATGCAACTGGACAGCTACCAATTTATTAAATTTCTCCATAGCAACATATATATAACCTTTACATGTTAACAATACATGAAATAAAAAGTTTTTAAGTTTAGTATTATCGTTATATACAGAATAATAAAGTTACAATATTGACCATTAAATGTATGAAGAAGGAATGAGTAAATCTCTGCCAAGTATATCTGCGGTATTTGTTAATATTTAAGATATTCAACCATTAGAACATATAATGGCTATAGGGACTCCTTAATCCCTAGTAGGAAAGGAATGATAAGGCAATGAACGGAGAAAGAGAAGGAGTAAGAAAACTGTGCATGAAGGAAAGAGAAGGAGTAAGAAAACTGTGCATGAAGGGAAGAAAGAGAAGGAGTAAGAAAACTGTGCATGAAGGGAAGAGAAGGAGTAAGAAAACTTTGCATGAAGGGAAGAGAAAGAGTAAGAAAACTGCGATTGAAGGGAAGAGAAGGAGTAAGAAAACTGTGCATGAAGGGAAGAGAAAGAGTAAGAAAACTGTGCATGAAGGGAAGAAAAGGAGTAAGAAAACTGCGATTGAAGGGAAGAGAAGGAGTAAGAAAACTGTGCATGAAGGGAAGAGAAGGAGTAAGAAAACTGCATGAAGGGAAGAGAAGGAGTAAGAAAACTGTGCATGAAGGGAAGAGAAGGAGTAAGAAAACTGTGCATGAAGGGAAGAGAAAGAGTAAGAAAACTGTGCATGAAGGGAAGAGAAGGTGGAAGACAACTGTTCATGAAGGGAAGAGAAAAATTAAGAAAATTGTGCATGAAGGGAAGAGTGATGGAAGAGAAGGGGGGTAGGGGAGAGAAGAAGAAGAACAAACCATGAACGGAAGAAAATAAAGAAGGTTTACAGAAAAATAAACATGACCAGGAAGGGGAAAAAATAAAAGACAAAATTAGAAACGAAAACAAAGTGGAAAAAGAAAAGCACAGGGGAGATGATTGGTAAATTTAAATGAAGGAGTGTGTTTGTGAACTTCGGTATTCAGGTAATTAGGTATTCGTATAATTAGGTTTCCGAATAATTAGGTATTCAGGTAATTAGCTATTCGGGTAATTAGGTATTTAGGTAATTAGGTATTCGGGTAATTAGGTATTCGGGTAATTAGGTATTCGGGTAATTAGGTATTTGGGTTATTAGGTATTCGGGTAATTAGGTATTCAGGTAATTAGGTATTTGGATAATTAGGTATTAGGATAATTAGGTATTCAGGTAATTAGCTATTCGGGTAATTAGCTATTCGGGTAATTAGGTATTCGGGTAATTAGGTATTCGGATTATTAGGTATTCGGGTAATTAGGTATTCGAATAATTAGGTATTCAGGTAATTAGGTATTCGGGTAATTAGGTATTCGTATAATTAGGTTTCCGAATAATTAGGTATTCAGGTAATTAGGTATTCGGGTAATTAGGTATTCGGGTAATTAGGTATTCGGGTAATTAGGTATTCAGGTAATTAGGAATTCAAATAATTAGGTATTCAGGTAATTAGGTATTCGGATAATCAGGTATTCAGGTAATTAGGTATTCGGGTAATTAGGTATTCGGGTAATTAGGTATTCGGGTAAATTAGGTTTTCGGGTAATTAGGTATTCGGGTAATTAGGTATTCGGGTAATTATGTATTCGGGTAATTAGGTATTCGGATAATTAGGTATTCGGGTGATTAGGTATTCGGGTAATTATGTATTCGGGTAATTAGGTCTTCGGGTAATTATGTATTCGGGTAATTAGGTATTCGGGTAATTATGTATTCGGATAATTAGGTATTCGGGTAATTAGGTATTCAGATCATTATGTATTCGGGTGATTAGGTATTCGGGTAATTATGTATTCGGATAATGAGATATTCGGGTAATTAGGTATTCAGATCATTAGATTTTTGGGTAAATAGGTATTTATATACAGTATAACATTCTTATATACAGTGTAAATCAGTAACAATCTTATATACAGAGTAAATCAGTAACATTCTTATATACAGAGGAAATAAGTAACATTCTTATATACAGAGTAAATCAGTAACATTCTATATACAGAGGAAATCAGTAACATTCTTATATACAGAGGAAATCAGTAACATTCTTATATACAGAGTAAATCAGTAACATTCTATATACAGAGGAAATCAGTAACATTCTTATATACAGAGTAAATAAGTAACATTCTTATAAGCAGAGTAAATCAGGAACATTCTTATATACAGAGTAAATCAGGAACATTCTTTATACAGAGTAAATTAGGAACATTCTCATATACAGAGTAAATCAGGAATATATCCTCATATACAGAGTAAATCAGTAACATTCTTATATACAGAGTAAATCAGGAACATTCTTATATACAGAGGAAATCAGTACATTCTTATATACAAAGGAAATCAGGAACATTCTTATATACAGAGTAAATCAGGAACATTCTTATATACAGAGTAAATCAGGAACATTCTCATACACAGGGTAAATCAGGAACATATCCTCATACAGAGTAAATTGCAGTAACATTCTTATATACAGAGGAAATCAGGAACATTCTTATATACAGAGTAAATCAGGAACATTCTTATATACAGAGTAAATCAGGAACATTCTCATACACAGAGTAAATCAGGAACATATCCTCATACAGAGTAAATTGCAGTAACATTCTTATATACAGAGGAAATCAGGAACATTCTTATATACAGAGTAAATCAGTAACATTTTCATATACAGAGGAAATCAGTAACATTCTTATATACAGAGTAAATCAGGAACATTCTTATATACACAGGAAATCGTTAACATCTTTATATACAGAGTAAAGCAGTAATATTCTTATATACTGCAGAGTAAATCACTTACTTCCTTATATACAGAGTCAATCAGTAACATCCTTGTAAACAGAGGAAATACGTAACATTATACTCAGTACATTAGTAACTAGCTTTCTCTATTACTCTATTGCTGTAAAAGTTTAATGGTAAAGGTTAAGGATGAAAATAATAAAATCTGTATTATATCCGTGACTGTCTTTATCTGTGTAGGAAATGGAACACAACTATACTGCAGGGTATACCCACACAGGATGAGACTGTAAAGACGACAGGAAACTCTTAAAAAATAACGATCCCTTGAGCTTAAATTAAGTATATGCATTGGATATAGTGATATAATGGGTTATTTAATGATTTGGCAAAGAAAGAAACAAGTTTACAGTTGCAGGGAATCGTGAATAAAAGGAAACATACATTATAAATTCCGTACAAGAATTCTCATCCTTTGTGGGAATGCAGAGCCCAAAACTTAAGACAGGGTATCGTTATGAAATCCAGTTTTGGAACCCGGGTTTCACGAATGGGGTTACGCAGTTTTGTGGATATTAATATTTTTGTTATTATTTTATTTGGTTTCTTTATATTCTCCATTTTTTCGAATTCGAGTTCACAGAGTACATACAAGTTTCCCAAAACCCTTACGAAACCCAAACTCAGACTTAAGCAGTACTCATGGACTTGAGAGAGCTAACCCGGTATCGTGGCCAGGTTTGGTTTGGGAAACCCGGAAAATTTCTTGTAAGTTTTGCCCTCTCAGGTTTAAAACAATACGTGTACAAAAGGAAGATGAGTAGGAAATAGAGTATAGTTGAACGAAACTCTCAAGTTTCCATTTTGGGATTACGTAGATATAATTTATTACGTAGATATAATTTATTAAATCAGAAACAAAAGAGAATGTTAGAAAACAACAAAATAATATTTCTCCACTAAAATGTTTTTATCTACAAAACTGCCTTACCACAGTACTGTACAGTGTACAACTTTCTCCATGTACTGCACAGCATCTTACATTGTACCATATACTCCGTGTATTCTAGGGTGCTACAGTACGGAATGAAGGGGAGAAGGTTGTGATAGGACGAGTTGTGAAGGGAGGAGCAGCAGAGAGAAGTGGAAACCTAAACCCTGGAGGTTATTATTATTATTATCATTATTATTTTTATTTTTCAAGTAGTAGTAGGTATAGTTGTAGTTAGTATTAATACTATTTTATTATCATACGGTGGTAGGCAATTATATCAATAAAATAAAGACGACTTTTGATTTCAATTTTATTTTATATCAAGCTTTTAAACAGCGTGGATACACAAAAAATGAAATCAAAGAGAAGCTGTCAATTTTCTCTTCAACTACTTGTAAACTTGTTATTTGAAAAGAGAATTTATCACCCACAGCTATATCAACTCAGCTATCAATTTTCTCTGTATAATTATTTTGATTTTATCATTATTATCATTATTTTTATTATTATTTGCATTATTATTATCCTTATTAATATTATTATTACTATCTTTATTATTGTTTTTTATCATTATTATTAGTATTATCATTATCATTATTGAATATTATTTTTATTATCATCATTATTTCTAATTATTATAACTAGATGAGGTGCTAGAAGTGAATGGACTTCGATTGACTGGTAAATCTGTTCATGATATCTGCTCTACTCTCTGTCAGGCAAGCTATATTTTTGACAACTAACTGCATTAAATAAGTAATTTTGATTGAAAAACAAAAATTTTATTGTTTAACGACTAAAGAGGAAAAATTAATTTTAAGTGACCATCCATGTAAAAATGGCAATGCCTATTTCACAATGTTGAAACCTTTATCTGATCAATATAGAAATGCACAAGTCATCCTAATTGAAAATAATCAGATTTATAAATTATAAACATTGATATCTGATTAACTTTTGACCAGACAAAGCTTTAAGGGTACCGTTGTGAATCAGTGAATCAGACATTGCCTTCTTTGAATGGAGGTTCACTTAAAATTACGCTTACAGTCCCTTTAATTGCAAAATACACTTTTCTATTTAAATTTAATGCGAACTCAGTAGTGTATTTCTATTAAAAATATTAAACTATTTCAGATGTCTGGGACCCTGACATTCGTCATTATTCCTGGTCCTCAGTCTGCACAGGTCCCATATTAAATGATAATTTAAGAATAATAACAATATAGATTATTGTCTTGTCTTGTGATTACTGCGAGAATGAACCAATATTATTATACTATTCTTTGTATGAATCATTCATATCTACAATTACAAATTATTCCGCTATTTCTGACCATTTTGAAGTTTTAAGTAATAACGTAAATTTAATATCATTAGACCAAAGCACACTTTCAGATACAAAGGATGATACTTTAAAGACGGCTTTACGGAATTTATCCTGTCTGTTTCTCCTTAGACTCATGGTTTCCTGAAACTTCAAATTTTTTCAACCTTAACCTTAAAATCTTCATTTTTCTAGAGTTTCAGGTCGTCTTTACAGTCTCAGTAACTTTGTATATCCCAAGACAACCTTGGTATATCCTATACCGTACATTAGAAAACATGTACACTTGTAAGTTGTACGTGAGGAGTGTACATGCATTTATTAGGGGAAGAGGGGGGAGCATTAAGATGTTTTTTATGCTCCCGGTCACCCATAAAAGTTTTTATGAAACTATTGTGTACTTTATCATTCTTACTTACTTCATCGTGAATTTCATAATGAACGTGCTATAAAGTTAAATTAGCAGATTTATAGCACGTGTGTTATAACGTTTTGATTGGTTCAAGGATTTTCTCCAAAAAAATTTAAGATATTTCCAAAATAATTTTGTTCAATTGAAATGAAAATAAAATTGAAATCAACTTTATATTTTGACTTCTCCTTTGTCTCAAAGCTTATTTGATCTATAGAAATAGCCATTGAAATAAGACACAAACGTTACTCACTGAACATTACATTACATTACATTATGCACTATTGTTTTGACTTGTACAATGTAAAACGTGTTGTTATTCGTTTTTATAAACTAATCTAAATCCTAATATTTGTTATAAACATTGGAAAAACGATGGTTACAATATGTTCTTTTTTGCATCGTTTTTGGGTCATTTTTGCATCGTTTTTGGATCATTTTTGGATCGTTTTCGGATCGTTTTTGGATTGTTTCAGATCGTTTTTGGATCGTTTTCAGATCGTTTTTGGATCGTTTTTGGATCGTTTTCGGATCGTTTTTGGATCGTTTTTGGATCGTTTTTGAATCGTTTTTGGATCGTTTTTGGGTCATTTTTGCATCGTTTTTGCATCGTTTTTGGATTGTTTCTGGGTAGTTCTTTTTGCATATTTTTTCTGCCAGGGTCAAAATTTTACAAGAAAAGCAAATGTTTAGAATCAAATAATAAACTATCTATAAACGATACTTGTACAGGAAGAAGAGACTCAGCCAGTATTCCACTATCGAGCACATTTCTCCTACACACCAGAAGACGACCTTTATATACCTTGTCATGAGCTCGGGATATCCTTTCAACGAGGAGATATTCTTCATGTCATCAACAAGGATGATCCTCATTGGTGGCAAGCTTACAGGTTATTATAATATTTATTATTTTTACGCAAAAATATACTTAACAGCAATTATAGATCGGAAATTCTCTCAGAAAAAAAGCAAGGCTTTTAGGGTGCTTCGCGCACCTTTTTTCTATTTAAAAATTTAGCGTTTAAATTCAACTCCATAAACCTTTCCTTGAGTCATGTGATGATGTGAGTTGGCTCAAAAATGTTTGGCCCGATCTTTTCATCCGTTTTACCGGTTATTGGATACAGACAGACAAACAAACAGACAATCTAAACGTATAAAAAGATGTTGCTAAATAATTTATTTCACTTCAAAAAGTCTATATTGAAAGTAACCTTAAAACATCAGATTTGAACGGTTTTAGATTTATATCAAAGTCTCATTCTGATCGGCCCTGTATAAAACTCTTTGAAATTTTTTTTTAAGTGCTTGTGATGCTTGTGAAAACAGAATTTTCGCCTCAATTAATCTACTTTCTTAAAAAATTTGTGTTCTTAAAGTTTGATTGATATTTATTAAATTCTTTTTGCCAGGTTTTAATATTATATTTGTTTCTCTTTAATTGTTTCAAATACACTGGGGAAATTAAAACATCCAAGCTCGGAAATTAGAGTATTAATCTTGAACGCTTTGATCTCGATATTCATCGTAGACATTTTTGAATTTTAGGATCAATATTTTAATGTATTTAAGGTCAGTTTCAAGATATTGAAAAGTGATTAAATTATTAAAAGAGATGATTGCTTGATCTACAACACAAAAGTTCTGACTTCAATCTATAATTGGAGTTTCATTTGGAATCACATGTACTGTACGTTGTCCTATTAAATCACATGTACTGTACGTTGTCCTATTAAATCACATGTACTGTACGTTAACTGTACGTTGTCCTATTCAATCACATGTACTGTACGTTGTCCTATCAAATCATATGCACTGTACGTTGTCCTATTAAATCACATGTACTGTACGTTGTCCTATTAAATCATATGCACTGTACGTTGTCCTATTAAATCACATGCACTGTACGTTGTCCTATTAAATCACATGAACTGCACATTGTCCTATTAAATCACATGTACTGTACGTTGTCCTATTAAATCACATGTACTGCACGTTGTCCTATTAAATCACATGTACTGTACGTTTTCCTATTAAATCAAATGTACTGTACGCTGTCCTATTCAATCACATGTACTGTGCGTTGTCCTATTAAATCACATGTACTGTACGTTGTCCTNGTATCCTTAAAAGCTTTGTGTGATCTAGTATGAATTAGATGCAAATCTTTAATATTTGCAAACTCTTCTTTTACATTTTGCTGAACTGGCGTTTTTGCTTAATATAATATATTCATTTCAAGCTCAGTTCTTCCAGGATTAAATTTTGACTTTATCATCATATTAAACAAGTAGATTTAAAATCTAACTGAAAGATTTTCCATTAGATTTTAAATCTAAAGAGTAAAATGTATCATTCAAGGCAATCCACAAAGAATAAGAGTTAATAATGACAACTTAATATTTTTTTTAATAAAGATACAAAGGCTAAAAGGAATTGAGACTTTGCCACAAACTCTGCTTTTCTAAATCTTATATCTTTGGATTCCAATGTCATAGACCTTAGATAATTCAAACTATGAATTCTGTTAGATCAAATAATATAAGTTTGAAATATCAAAGAGTTACGACATTGGGTTCCAAAGATTTAGGGATTATAAATTCAGAGTTTGTGGCAAAGACTCAATTCCTTTGTTTTTATCCATTAACCCGTGTTATTGGTCAAATGGTGGACCTATGCAAGATACTACATGACAGTTGGTGAATAGTTTAAAATGTCTTCTTCCATAATATGTCAAGTTGTTTGTTACCAAAGAGAATAATAATAAATATTTTAAGGCATCCATATTTTAGTAAAATTGATTTTTAAGTAAAATATATTTATGTGAAGTTTTTAAAACTAAATAAACTGCAAAAAGTCTTTAATATCTAATACAGTATATGGATGAAAGAAGACATTCAAAACTATTCACCAACGGTCATGTTTCATGGGACACCCTGTATATTCATTGATACCGGGCTACCCACAAATTGTAAGACTGTAAAGACGATCTGAAACTCATTCCCAAGGTTAAGTTAAGCTGCATTAAATAAAGTCTTTTAATGGCTTATTTAAAGATTTGGAAAAGAAAGAAACAAGTTAACTGCAGTTGCAGAGAACTGTAAATGTAAGGAAACAGATATTTAATTCCGTACAGTCGTCTCTGAAGTCTAATCATTTGTTAATAATCCTGTATTCGACTGATAAGATAAAAGTAAACTAGAATTAGCTGATGTTTTCACATAACTCCGTATAGTTCAAAAGTTTAGTGCACTACAATTCAAGTTAAGAAACTTCTCCTCTAAAAGTTCCAGGCTCTCATGAATACTTTTTTTAATTATTTCAGGGATGGAGAATGGACGCAGACCCTGGCAGGCCTTATACCTAGCCTAGCTCTTCAACAGCATAGGCTAGCTCTACAGAGACAGAAGAAGGACCAGGTACAGTACAGTACAGTACAACAGTATATAATGGGACAGTTCAGCGCAGAATAGTACAGTGCAGTACAATATAACAATACAGTATTAGAGTAAAGTATTACAGTACAGTATTACAGACAGAACATTATTAAATTAAAGTACAGTAAAGCTACAGCACATTAAAATTTTACAGTACAGTAAGTACAGTATTACAGTTTTACAGTACAGTACAGTACAGTACAGAACGGTATTACAGTTTTACAGTACAGTACAGTACAGTACTGTACAGTACAGTACAGAATAGTACCTACAACCTTTTTTTGTATTAGTCCTAGTATTAGCTTATTTTTTAATTATTTTGTTTCTTCATATTTTGATGAATTCAATATTAGGAAGACATCTTTAGAATTATTTTTTTAATCTAAATCCAGTTTCTTATTTATGTTTAATCTAGTGTGTGGAAGAATAATAGATATTTATATTTGATCTAGTGTGTGGAAGAATAATAGATATTTATATTTGATCTAGTGTGTGGAAGAATAATAGATATTTATATTTGATTTAGTGTGTGGAAGAATAATAGATATTTATATTTGATCTAGTGTGTGGAAGAATAATAGATATTTATGTTTAATCTAGTGTGTGGAAGAATAATAAATATTTATATTTAATCTAGTGCGTGGAAGAATAATAGATATTTATATTTGATCTAGTGTGTGGAAGAATAATAGATATTTATATTTGATCTAGTGTGTGGAAGAATAATAGATATTTATATTTGATTTAGTGTGTGGAAGAATAATAGATATTTATATTTGATCTAGTGTGTGGAAGAATAATAGATATTTATATTTAATCTAGTGTTTGGAAGAATAATAAATTCTCCAGCTTCAGAAGTTTTGCTCTTAATATATAATCTACAATCCTCGGAAATTAAAGAATAGAAAACTGTTTAGGAACATGCAGTACCTATAGGATCCAGATCCGGATCTAACATTTGTGCAGATCCTAATTCAATATTAATAGCTCCCCGGATCTAGAGATGGGCACATTCGACTTTTTTCATTTCGTTCATCGTTTGTAAACGACCCCTTTCGTTCGATTAAAAGAAAATTGATTTTGTTCATTCTCAAAATTATCCTTAATTTTCCATCTATTTCGTTCGTTTTCTCACTGAACGATCGTTCAGTAAAATCGTTTATTTAGAAAAAAAAACTATTATTTTTTTCAAAAATTTTATTTTAAAAATCGTTTGTTCAGAAAAAAAATATCGTTTTTTTAAAAACCGTTCGTATAGTAAAAAAACGACACCCTTTTTCATAAAAAATTCTTTCGTTCAAAAAAACAAATGCCCATCTCTATCCTGAGTTGTCTTTTTAAACTTTTTCATTATAAACGCATGCCCCGGCAGCTTTCTGGGATAAGGACCGAACTATAAAATCCGCGTGAACCGGATCTGCAATATAGAAATTTAAGAAGCAAAAATAAAACAAAAACATATTTAAGTGGCATCTGCTGATGTGTAAATAGAGATCACTATTCTTATAATCAGTAAATGGTAAACCAAGTCTCTATACATACAAATTACGAACAAAGAGGACATAGCCGGATCCGGATCCGCATCAAAATGAAATTAATTCTGAATTAAATGATTTACAATATCTAGTACTTTCTTCATGATAAGAACCCAACCACCGTAATTCGAAAAGTCTGCCAAACCAAATAATAGTCTACAGTCCAGCAGGTCGTCTTTATTCGATCTCTTTCACTGTAGTATAGTTATTTATAATTGTCTAGGAATCCAGGGAGCAAAGCACCTCTCCGTCCCGGAAGAAGACGACATCCTCTTCCCTCCTCTGCACTAGGAAACCTCAAAAACGTCGTTCTGCCTCTTCTCCCTTCCGTAGAGGTAATCTTTAAAAAGAGGAACATGCCCTACTCACAATGGTACCCTGTATCTGATCATTATTGTGGAATAAATGGTCCTTTCTCTATCTTGAAAAATGTTTGATTTTGACAATTTCCTCCGTTGTTGCAGAAAAACGCAAAAAAGAAACCCCAATTAAAAATAGTAATTTTTGAAAAGAAGATTATGGATATCTCATGGCCTCTTTATCATACAAAGCTTTTCAGGGTAATGTTGTGAATCGAACATTCCACACTTTTAATGAAATGTCACTTGAAATTGCGTGTACAGTCCCTTTTATATGATTTTGTAAAATGTGTATTTGACAATTTGATTCACGTCTTATCCCTTAATTGTAATCTTTTTATGGCTAATTAAATGATAAAAAAAGGAACTTATAGTTTACAGAAGTAGGGAAGCATTATTATAAATTATAAATAAAGTATAATATGAAGTGTCATCATTTGTTGGTAACCCTGTATAATATTTAATAAAAAATAATTATATTAGTAATTCTATGCGGATGGATTGTAAAATAATTTTACAAAAGATAAATTATATTTCTCTGAATTCTAATATTGTGGTTTAAAGACTGGATTTATCGGTAGACAATAAATTTCTATTTTCTAGGATCAGACAACTTTTTAACTTTACACATCAATCCTATTTCAATTTTCTTGATTTTCTTGATTTTCTTGTCCACATGTCTTCCCTAGAATACCTAAAAGTGTTCCGAGCTTTCAGATGAATTCTTTATTCACATCTTTAAACTAAAGAATTTTGTCTCCAAAGTTCAATGAAAAGATGAAAGAAAAGATAAAATAAACGTTTTAATGAACATTTTAGATGTAAAAGTGAGAAATTACAGAAACAAGAAAAATAAGATTTAAAATTCGGTGATTGTGATGGACCAAACCTCTGTAAAAAATTTGACAGCATACTTCCATTAACGTTTAACAGCATACTCCAGAATATTTAATATCATGCTACAAGGAAAGGAACTGAGATTTTGCCCCAAAATTAACTTTTCTGACCACGATATCTGTGAAACCTGATGGTGTAAACATTTAATATTTCAAAATTAAATTGTTTTCTGTAACAAAATACATAATTTGAAATATCAAAGGTCTGCTACATTAGTATGTAAAGGTGAAATAGAAAATCAGAGTTTGTGGCAAACACTCAATTTCTTTACAGTATGGTCTATTTGAGAGAACACTCAAAACAAAACTTTACAATATGGGTTAAAAATCTGATAGTATATGAAAATGATTGATATGCATGTAAGCAAAGGATGTCATGCTTATGTTATACTAAAACTAATATGGGAGTTTTACTTGGATTCTAAACGTTAAAAATTAGAGCATTAAAGAATGGGACTCGCACTCCCACGCTAGAAACTGATTATTGAGCAGAAACTCTTATTTTACCTTTGCAACCTGTATGTGTAAACCTTTGATATATTAGACATCAAGACTATTTTGCCTATGTAAAGTTTGGAATATCAAAGGCCTAACCGTCTATCGCATTGGGGTGCAAATATAAAAGTTTATACAGTGATACCCAGAAAACAATATAATAAGAAGACGACATTATAGCAATACTGAAGTGTATGTGATGATTGTACAGTGCAAATATTTTAACTATACACTTATTAAATCACTAATTTAGTGAAATAGACCTGTTTACACTGCACAATGACTGTGTATCATGCGCATTGAACTTTTAAAATCTATTAATAAATTCTAAAAGTCGTCTTCCTATTTCAGAGTTTTCTGTAATCACTGTAAAATTAGAGTTTGTGGGAAAAATACTGTAAAATTAGAGTTTGTTGGAAAAATACTGTAAAATTAGAGTTTGTTGGAAAAATACTGTAAAATTAGAGTTTGTTGGAAAAATACCGTAAAATTAGAGTTTGTTGGAAAAATACTGTAAAATTAGAGTTTGTGTGGAAAATTAGTTCAATTCAGATGATCTTTCTAAGGATTAAAAGTGTTCAGTGTTGTATAGTTTTATTGTTCTTGATTTGTAATCTATTTTGCATCTCTTTAGTAAACTTTATATTGCTAAGTAAATTAAGAAGGTTCAGGAGCGTTTGCGAGAACCCAGGCTAGATCCCCACCCCCTCTAGGCCCAACCTGACCCTAAGCATTAATATATTCCTTTTCTTAACAATTGACAATCTGTCCATTTTATGCAATTTTATCAAAATCTTTTAAATAGACCTTAACCTCATTTACAAAATCTCAATTTTTTACCCCCTCCCCCCCCCCTTAGGCGAATCTCCAATGCAAGGTTGGATTTGCTCACCACCACACTTGTCACTACACTATTCCTTACATTTTTTTTGATGAAAATAGTTCTAATTGATTTTCAGATCTGATTAAAATACTGATTAAATAGTTTCCTGTTAACCTAAACTGTTGCTAGTCCTATTCACAACGGTACCATTGAAACTTCTATCTGAGAAACATGAGGGAATATGAATTTTTCTGTCTAAAAAGAGTTGAATTCTGTCAATTTCCTTCATGATGTAAAAGCACAAATGCGCACGTATATTTATACAAGAAAAACAGCTCATCAGAAAAAGGTTTGTAAGGTACAATTGTGAATTTGGCATGCCATTTTTTAAATGAAGGGTCACTTAAAATATCGCACACAGTCCCTTTAAACTGATTATTACATTTAGATGCACAAGAAACCCCTCCGTATGAAGAAATGGCTCTGTACTATCCTCAACCGAACCAGAAGCGTCCTCTTATCCTGGTTGGTCCACCTAGCATTGGTCGACATGAGCTCCGACAACGATTATTAGATGATACTTCTAAATTTGCAGCTCCTGTCCCACGTATGTAATCACTTTTTTTTAAATTGTCAATTTTGTTTTTCTGTGGAAAAGTATTTTCTGTTTGTGTTTTAAACTATAAATAATTCTTCTTTATGAAAGTGCTCAGAAATTAAGATGAGATCTAAGCCACTCTGAAAGTTATTCATCAAATTGACTTTGAAGTGTCGCAACACGCCTTGGTCTTTTATTTTACCTCGCCAACTCAATTTTACTTTTTTGTAGCCTAGGTACAGTGAAAGCCTAAATAAGCCATACATCGAAAGAATTCATCAAATGTCGTATTCTTCACTTTCTGATAATGGAATGTTGCAGATATTTAGCTATTTAATTAAATGATTATATGGAGCTGTTTTAAAACTGTTCCCGCACATTCATGGCTATTTATTTATTTTCGCAAAAACTGAGATTTACGTAAAATAGTATAAAACCCATTGAAAAATTGTCAAGACGACATTTAATAAATTCTTTCGATGTATTTAATATTTAGGGTTTAACTGTATATACATTTTAAAATTTCAACGCGCTTGAAATATCCAAATCTTGTATTTTCATGAAGAATATGTTAATCAAACGATTTATTTTTTCGTTTTGGCCTTTTTTATAAAATATAAAGTATGCATGTTTTACCTCAAAATTTGGAGCTTATGTCCCATTTATGTAAACACTAAAAAGGTTTTTTATTTGTAAATTTTAGTAAATGCGCCATAAATATTTTGGTATTATAACAACGACATTTTCAGAAGATTTCCAAATTCCTCATGAGTTACCATTTTATTATTTAGACACAACACGAGGTAGAGAAGAGGGAGAGATAGATGGTGTTGATTATTATTTTGTGAGCAAACAGCAGTTTGAGACGATGGTGACGGAGAAGAGGTTTCTTGAGCATGGAGAATATGATAAACAGATGTATGGAACCAGCACATCAAGTATCAAATCTATTCTTAACTCAGCTAAGGTTTGACTTCTTCTTTTTTCAAATACATTTCAAAGTTCCTTTTCTCTTAACTTCCACTCCTCTCTTTCTTTTAAATTTATCATTCAAAATATTATTTTTTTTCTAAACATATTTTTAGTAGCCCTTTATTTGGAAAGTTCCATGCCCGCTTTACAACAGTACCCTAAAAAGCCACTTGTATCATTCTTTTGTTCTTTTTCAAGTTTAAATTGTTCTTACAAACTTTCCATTTAAGTTCATATCATATTTTTTCATGAATATTTGGATTTGTAAAGAAATTTCAAAATATTTCATCCCTGGTTAAGCACAGCTAGATCATGAGTTGAATTCAAAAGATTTTAAAATTAGAGTATAAATTATGAAAAAGATTTAATTTTTAAACAAACTGATTCTTAAAAACTAGGTTTTCAGGGTGTTTCTCTCCTAATTTTTAATAGGTGTTAAACATTGTTCTTCAAGCTATTTTTCTTTGTAAATCGAATGTTTTCTGGTAAAATTTGCTTTATTTAAATTATCTTTAAACCTTCCCTGGGGTCATGGGAGTTACAAAAAAACCCGGCCCCCAACGGTTCAGCCGTTTGTACGTTTATTGGATACAAACAAGTCAATGTTGTGTATAGATGGTGATACAAATTTAAGAAATATATGTTTAGATTTGTGTGTTAAACATCCAACCTTCATCTCTACCTGCCTTCCATGACTCCGACCTGAAACCTTATGTTGTATTCTTGACTCCACCCTCCCCTCATATATCCAGGCATCTTAAACTCAAGAACGGAGATATGTTTAAGGTATATATTCTGGCCATTTTCAGCCATTTCAAAATTCTTGTAAAGGTTGCTCTGAAAGTCTCCATTTTGAAGCATTCTCAAATTTTTCTATTTAAATTGACGCATTTTGAGATGAAATTTTCAACTTTGACGGTCCATACACCTTTCCTGGGGTCTGGGGTCTACCATACAAATTGGGATCTGATCGGTTTAACCATTTTCACGTTTGTTTGATACAGACGGCGAACAGACAGACAAGCAACGTATATAAATAAATTTGTTTCTGGCATGACCAGAGCTGAAAACTTTAGAATGGGATATCCTTAATCCCGATCGGTTAATTAATCTGGAGATTAAAAATGAGTGGAGAACAAGCAATGTTTAATCTCGAGATTAAGAAAAAGAGTGGATTAAGCCTTAATCCCGATATCCACCATTCTAAAGTTTTCAGCTCTGGAGATTAATATTAAGAGGAGAACAAGCATTATTTAATCTGGAGATTAAGAAAAAAAGTGGATCAAGTATTAGTCCCGATATCTATTCCGGTTGCCACTGGCTATGACTGTATCAATGAATGCGTATTAAGTATGAAAGACTCTGTCTGAACTTTATAAGAAATCAGAAAATCGACCACCGGAGGTTTTAAGCAAATATTTGAGACATTTGAAATGTTAGTTTCTTACGCTCTCGTTTAAACAACTTTTTCCGATAAAAAGAAAAATTGTTTTGCCATGAATTTTCACAAATGCAAAATGCTTTTTGGCCTAAAATCTTTTTCCGATCAGATTTTCACACTACACCGTTGTATAGTTTTTTCTCAAAAATCTTCTTTTTAATTAATAATTATAAGTTTACATTTTTGTGTCGACCTAGGAGGACGAGTACAGAGAGTTGGTCATCATCGCGCACAATATGGAGGAGAACTACGGACACTTCTTCGACTCTGTCATCCCCTTTGAAGACGTAGACTTTGTCCTCAAACAAGTTATGTACGAGATCAGGTAGATATATATATATTATTACCAGGCACGCACCTCTGCCCCTTTAGTAAAAGTAAATTCAACCTATATGAAGCATAAAGTCTGACCGCGTCAACCTTGTTGCTCCGGCTGGTCCTGTCAATAGAGCTAGGTACAGTCCATACTAGGACCGGAAAGGTTGACCCGGCTCGGAAATTCAGATGTACTACAGCTGCCCGTGCAGGGTGTACCAAAAAAAATTGAAAGGAAAGTAAGCGCAATTTCAATGCCAGATTTACAACAGTACCCTTAAAAGCTTTGTGTGATCTAGTATGAATTAGATATCAATGTTGATAATTTTGATTATTAATTATTTTTCATTTTGGTTTCTCATAAAAAGGAATTATCCGAATCAAACTCTTCTGAGTCGTCCGGATAAACTAGAATATCGTCCGGATAAACTAGAATATCGTCCGGATAAACTAAAATATCGTCCGGATAAACTAGAATATCGTCCGGATAAACTAGAATATCGTCCGGATAAACTAAAATATCCTCTGCATTTTTGAGAAACAACCTATAAAGGGTGAAAGTCTCGTCCTTATCTTTCTAAAAACGTATCACGTGTCACCACCATCCTTTTGATTAGGAATAAAAATGCCAAAAAAAATATTGAATTAAGTTGCTTCGATCTTAGCATTGACATAGATTTATACACCCTACAGGGAGAAGCAGAAAACTCTAGAATAGGAAAACGATTTTAGACTCAATTTATGACTTTAAACAGTAAACAGTAAACCAGAAAAATAAAACAGGAAGACGACATTATAACAATAATTAAGTGTATTTTATGCTGTTACAAAGCAAATAGTTTTACTAGACACTTATAAAATCATTAATTTAGTAAAATAGGGTCTTTTTACACTGCACAATTGTTGTTTCTCATGCTCAGTGTACGTTTTAAAGTTAAAACTTGATTATAAAAGTCGTCTTCCTATTTCAGAGTTTTCTGGTTATCAATGTAGTAAAACTATATGTTTTGTAACAGAATCAAATAAACTACAGTATTTTAATGGTTCTCAGTGTCGTAACCTCTAGTAAATATTTTGAACTGCCGCCTAGCCTCACTTCTATTCAAAATAAAATTGAATTGAAAGTTTTAGCTTCTAGAAACCAATTAATAATTAACACTGAATTAACAAAGTGTTGTTAATTATAATTTAAAATATTATTCATTTTCTCTTGACATAACTTCTAATAAATTAAACTTATGTTTTCACTGAGTTCATTAATTTTAATGTTTTAACTTTTTCCTTTTTAACTTCAAGACATTCTGTTTTCCAGGCTTGGAAATACCCCATCCCCCTCCCCTCCCATTCCTTCGCAATAAATATGAGTTTTTATTATAAAAATAAGTCTTCTGAGGAGGAAAAACAAAACATTCTTTATCTAAAAAGCACAGAAAAAAGTCTAACCTTTGTCTCATTAAGAATTAATGAATCAGATTTTTTAAGCTGAAAACTAGTTTTTTTCTTTGCGGCTTCTTTTAAAAAAGTGGCTTGGCGATACTTCAGAGACACTGAAGGACATTGTGAGATAGAAATACGATGATATCTTCCTCATTGTTACACGGATAGAGGTTTAAAGGTTACCGATGTGCATAGGACATGTCACTTTAGAAATGTGGAGTCGGCTTCATTATTCCACAATCTGTCGTTAGTTTTTAATCTTCAACTGTATTTTTTAGATAATTAATTTAAAAAATCTAATTATCTATGCTAAAGTTTAATATATTAAATTTCAGTTTGTTAGAACGAGAACCCCAATGGGTACCAACAACCAATCAACCAACCAACCAACCAACCAACTGAAATATGTATTTTAGCTTCAGTAAAGAATCAACAAAAAAGAAATTTTATATCCTCCAGTTTGTATAATTGTGAATATTACCATCCAGAAAATGCAGGGTTACCTGCTAAAGATGAACCTTCAGTAAAGGAATTTATTCAGTTTTTTCTACATTAAATGTCCCTCCCCCGAAACTGCAAACTTTCTTTCGTTGCCAAATATTAAGTATACCATTTAAGACTATATGTAATGCAGACACCAATATTTAACCTTCATATCATTTTCTTTAAAGAGTTTAAGGTCGTCTATGTCTCACTCATTGTGGGTAACTCTGTAAATTTGTAACCAAACCCAATTAAAGGAAGCTCTCTGCTACTTAGCAAATAATCAATTCCTGACTATAGTACTGTATGAAATAATAGGATAAATATAGACCTAGAGCTCCCGTCGTCTTTAATCAAGATCTAACTTCGAACTACAAATATCTGGCTAAAAACTGCGACAAATACCTTTTAATTTAGAGAAAACGAATTTTCATACAAAGTAAAAAAAATTTTATTTATAATTTTTAGACAAATTGTAATTTCAAAATTTTAATTTTTTAATTGGATTGAACTTAAACTAAAATTTAGGAGAGAATCAAAGACAAAATAGTGAAAGTTCAACATTTTTTAAACCCCACTTTGAATATTAAAACTTTAAAAAGATTAGGACATAATTTTGAACATTCAGGGTTACCCACAAAGGATGATACTTCAGAGACGACTGTGCGGAATTTATACCGTCTGTTTCCTTATCATGAATGAATATGATTCTCTGCAACTAAAAACTTGTTTATTTCGTTTCCCAATCATAAAAAAACCATTAAAAATCTATATTTAAGGCAAAAGACATTAGTTCAAACAGTTATATTTAAAGAGTTTTAGGTCGTCTTTAAAGTCTCATCCTTTGTGGGTAGCCCCGTATGTTCAAAATTATGTCCTAATCTTTTTTTATATTTTTAATATTTAAAGTGGGGGTTTTAAAGGGAGTGTTCGCGAAAAATGAAAGGGGGTATAGGCTTATTGCGATAAATAGGCGCTTTTGATCGCTACTAATCATACTTCTATCTGTTGCGTCTATAAGGAGAAAATTGATAAAGACGTCACATACCGAAGAGCGTAGCGCCCATACAAATTGCGGAAGTTGGAACATACGACTTTAATCGTAAAAAAATCAAATTAATATTAAAGAAATCATTTAGATATTACAACCTATTGTCATCGATTTTCTTTCGCAACATTTGTATAAATTGATTTTTCATAATATGTTTTAATTGTTATGATCTGAGAGTTACTTATAAAAACTTTATTCCTGTTTCGAGAATTTTTGGTAATAAAGACGACATTTTCATATTTTCCAGGAATGTTCGAAAACAAGTTGTAAGCTAAATATTATTTTAAAAAGCAAATCAAAACTAGTATGAAATATCAAATATATACAAATGTGGCGAAAGATAATCGATGACTGTAGGTTATAATATCTGAATGATTTCTTTGAAATTAAATTGATTTTTTTACGGTCTAAGTGGTATGTTGCAATTTTCTCTTTTTTTATGGACACATATGTTATTCGGTATGAGACGTCTTTAACAATTTTCTCCTTATATACGCAACAGATAAAAGTAAGATTAGTACCGATCAAAAGCGCTTTTTTATCGCATTAAGCCTATACCCTCTTTCATTTTCGCGAACACTCCCTTTAATATTGTTGAACTTTCACTTTAACTCTCTATAAAAAATCATAATTCGCTTCCAATGTTCAGTTTTAAAATAAAAGAAAAAAATGAAACTTTTCTGTTTTTGTTTCTCTCCTAAATTTTAGTTCAATCCAATTAAATAGATAAATTTTGAAATTAGAATTTTCCTAAATATTATACATTTTTTTATGTTGTTTAAAACTTCGTTTTTCCAAGCTAAAAGGAATTTGTCGCAGTTTTTAGCCAGACATTTTAAACATACATATCAAGAGATTTTATGGAGCTATATAGGTTTAGAGAAAATATTCGTAAATTAATTATATATCATGGATTATATCTTGAAAAATTCATCAGATTTCTTAAATTTCATACATTCAATGTATGGTTTTTTTTAAGTATTTGGTTAATTTTGATAAAAATTTATAAAATAATTTGTTTTCAACACATTTTCCTGTTTTTGAATTTTCAATCTCAAAAATCGTTCTAACAATTGACAAACGAAATTATAAACCCTATTTCAATGTAAATAAAGTTAATAGAATCGACCCAACCCCCCTTAACCCTCGTGTTCACACATTTTCTATTAAAGATATATTAGAAATTTAAAATGTAAAAATGTAAAAAAGTTATTATATGTTATGCAGATTATATAAAATTAAAATAAAATAATTTAACCTGATACTTTTATTTTAAAAGGAATTGAGTCTTTGCCGCAAATCCCAATTTTCTAATATATATCTAAAACACCAGAGGGCGTAAACCTTTGATATTTCAAACTTGATTATTTGATTCCTCAGAATTCATAGTTTGAAATATATAGGGTCTACAACATTGGGTTGTAGAGATAAAGGGATTAAAAAATCTGAGTTTGTGGCAATGACTCAATTCTTTTGTACAATCGTTCGAACCTACTCTATTGTCCTATTAGTCTAACTGTCATACCCTACTCTTTTGTTATTTTTTTTTATAACTGTCCTACACTACACTCCCGTCCCCGTCCTATTTGTATAATTGTCCAGCCCTAATCTCTTCTCCTATTTCTATAATTATCCTACCCTACTCCCTTCTCCTATTTGTATAATTATCCTAACCAACTTCCCTGTTCTTTTTGTTTAATATTTCTACCCTTCTACCCGGTCCTATTTGTCTGATTGTCCTACCCTTCTACCCGGTCCTATTTGTCTGATTGTCCTACCCTTCTCTCATTCAGTATTTGATTTAGTTTCCCTACCCTAATCTACTGTCCTATTTGTTTAACTGTCCTACCCTACTCTACTGTCCATGTACTATTTGTTTAATTGTCCTACCCTACTCTCCTGTTCCTGTTCTATTTGTTTAATAGTTCTACCTTACTCTACTGTTCCTGTTCTATTTGTTTAATAGTCCTAACCTACTCTACTATCAATGTCTTACTTGTTTAATTGTCGTACCCTACTCTCCTGTTCCTGTTCTATTTGTTTAATTGTCCTACCCTACTCTCCTGTTCCTGTTCTATTTGTTTAATTGCCCTACCCTACTCTCCTGTTCCTGTTCTATTTGTTTAATTGTCCTACCCTACTCTCCTGTTCTTGTTCTATTTGTTTAATTGGCCTATCCTACTCTCCTGTTCCTGTTCTATTTGTTTAATTGTCCTACCCTACTCTCCTGTTCCTGTTCTATTTGTTTAATTGTCCTATACTGCTATAGTGGAAGAAAAATACCCCACAGGGATTAATAAATAATGATGATTTGCAATACAGACGTTTTTACCAAGCAGCTCATTCTATGCAAGTTTTTAGCGGCCTTTTTCTATCAAATCTGTAACTGGAAATAACTTATCATTTTAGTGTCTAGTTTAATCATGTTTTCTATTCGTATTTATAAATACTTTAAAAGGAACTGTCGTAGGAATTTCCAATGACCTTCCATTTAAGAGGGTCATGCCCGAAACAAAGCTGTAAAGGGCATCGTTGTGAATCGGACCTTTTTATAAATAAATGGAGGGTCATATGAGATTAAGTCATCAGAGGCCAAATTTAAAGAATTTGAGCGGCGGCTTAAATTTAAGCAGCGGCTCAAATATGGTTGGTTTCACTTAAAATTGTATTCAATGTTTCAATTGAAACCGGCTTTTGGCGGATTTAAGACGCGGCTCAAATTCATTAAATTCGGACACAGTCCCTCTAAATTTAACTAATCACTAGGAGTAGGAGGGTCCGCATATATACTGAATAATTCCTCAATCTGAAATATAAAATACAGGGTTACCCCACAAGATGAGACTGTAAAGACGACTTGATATTCTTGAACTATGACGATTCGTTGAATTCAGCCTTCTGCCTTGACTCTAGTCATTTTATAAGAGAAACAGAGAAAATAAATTCATTGCAGTCTCTGAAGTCTCATCCTTTGTGGGTAACCCTGTATTTAAAATTCTTAAAATATTATTACTTTTCACGTGGCTAGGAGTACAAATTTAGCTTAAATATGTATTAACTAGGCAGTTTTCTCTTTGTATACATAGCAAAACAAAAACGAAAAAAGTTTGCGAATTTCATAAACAAATGTTGTGTATTTTGAAAATTTATTGAAAATCGAATTATAGGAAAATTTTTGAAATTTTTATCATCCATAAACATTCCCTGGGGTCACGTGATGTCCCAAACAAAATTAGGGCTTGATCGGGTTTGTCATTTTACGCATTACGTTTATTGGATACAAATAAACAGACAGACAAGCAAAGTTATACATAGATTTATACGAACATAGAACTTTATATTTTGAAAACTTAAAAACACTTTTCTCAAGAACCTTGTTGAAACAAATGTTTAGTTGTGAAAATAATTTGGATAATTCATTGATTTCATAAATATCTTTTCTTTTTGATGTCCTTGTTTTTTTTCTCCTGAAATGCCATGTCTTGAATGACGTAAATGCATAGAAAAATAAAATAAACATAGATAGCTTATGTACGCAAAATCACCAAGAATTGTACAGTCCGCGAACTCATACTTCTAGGGGTCAAAGTGTACTTCAATGATAAGCGGGTGGTTTGGTGTTTTAATGGATTTCATAATAGAGTGTAAAATAACTCCGGGAATGAAACTATAATTTGAACAACAATATTTCACTGAGCAATATATCATATTGACGAGAACTGAAGAAGGACATGAGAAGGACTAAACTAACTTAAATTTCTTTCTACAGAACTCATGTACACCACAAGTACTCAATTACATAAGAACAGCCAATGTTCACAACCGACCTAGT